TGCTCGGTTTCATGGCAATTGGGACTGGACATTATGGAGCATCAGGTGTGTGGGATGTGCAAGACCCCAGAGCAGCAACGGATTGGGGGCCCCACAATTCATTCTGACTATGCATGAATTACCGTACATCCATACTATATCCAGGGGCTGTAGAAACATTTTGTCCTGGAAGGATTTGGTTCCTGCAGTGAGCAACATGGTTAAATTTATTTAACTGAGGTCAGCATCCACTCATGCCTATGCAACTGTGTTTACATTCACAGGGGGGCACTTTGGGGTGCATGCCTGGGAAACACATCACATGCACTTGTGCATGCATGCAAAGCCAAGGACGGCCTGTTCCTGGATCTCTCCTCCACACCCTGGGCCCATGTTTACTGGGACTTTTCTCCCCTTCCCATCAATCCAGCATCTGGGAATGGTTATTTCTTGGCATGAAAACAGGAAGGAAGGAGAAAGTGAAGCCTATAGGAGGTGCTGCTGCACACAGAGAGCACTTGGCCTGCACAGAAACATGTGCTCGGCTTGACACAAATCTTTGCCTGAAAATCTTTGCATGCCAAGTTTTTCTGGAGTTCTCAAAGAGGTAGAGCAAGCTGGACAATCCTGCTACCTCTGAGTGGGTCCCCTACTTATCTGTTTGGTGTTTCCACATATCTGACAGATTCCTTTCTCAAGCAGAAGAGAAAAGGGGGAGAATCAGCCATCTATTCCGAGTCACGCCCAATGCTGATTCGCACACACTTACGTCCACCTTCACACTCTTATAAATTCCTCTTGCACAGTCTCACCTCGTGACACTCACACCCCAAGGCCTGCCAGTCTCCCCTTCTCTCCACCCGCCCCCTGAACACTGCGCTGATTCATCCCAGCACATTCATCAGGAGCCAGCGATTTTCTGTCAGTCCCAGAGCCTGCTGAGCTTATCTTGTTTCTACCTGTGATACCTGGGGGCCTCAGGCCACCTCCCCTCATTCCAGTGGGCTTGATAAAGCCATGGCTTTATCTTATCTGAGCTGCATTGGCAGCCGCAGATTAATGGGGCTGAGGGAGAAAGAGCGACTTGTCTCTTCAGTGCAGCTAGGAATGACAAGGCTGGGCGCGTGTCTACACTTGAGTTAAATGTGGACGGAGATATGTTCACGTGAGGGACTGTGTGTGACAGCAACCGGATGACGAGCATGCAATGAGTTCAGATATCCAGCAAGAGGGGGACAGTAGCAAGTGGTTTGACTTGAAATGCAGAATAAATTTACTCAATTCACTTCCCAGGTATGTCACTAATGTTTTCCCACTATAAAGAAGAGTCACGTTATGCCCCAACTAAGGTGTTATCTGGAGCATAGAGAGCTTCTGAATGTTGTCCTCATGGGTGGGGCAGGATCCCTTGGTTGGGTCCAGAAACCCGTTTCCATTGCCTAGTTGTCACTCTTGATCCAGTGACAAGTAGTGATGTGAGATGTCAAAGGTTCCTCCACAGTCACAGTCACCACACAGAGTGGCCTCCTCTGCAGCTGCCACTGCTGCCGTGGCTGGGAGGGGGCTACAAAGGGGTTGGAGGCTGCTGTGGCACCCCCTCCTCAAAATGATGGTAATAGTATTGGATGAGGAGTTATAGGTCATCTAAGAGCAAGAGTAGCAGAGCCCTTTTATTTGGACCAAATGTTAAAAACCACAAAGAGGCAAATAAGATTTTGGACTTCATAAACATTCTTCATTAGACTAGATACTAAGTCAAAAAAATTTAAAGGGTGAAGGAGGGAAACATTACTGAGCATAAAGGAAAAACCTCCGGTATGCCCAGAAATAAATTGTGGCTTCAGCTGGCTGTGGAAATCCAAAGAAGAAAAGCCCAATCTGAGCCCAAAGAGGTGCTACTGGGTAACCTGCAACACTGCTTCAAAGACAGGGAAGCCTCTAGTTTATTTGTAACAGCGGTAGCTCATTAAAATTGATTAAAAGGAATCTAACTTTAGGTGATTAAGTGAACAGCAAAGGCTTTGCTTTACCTCAAGCACTGGGAGCCTCAGGAGCAGAGATTCTCTTTTCTTTTAATTGAAAGTCTGCCTTTTAGCTGATCATAATAGTAGTAGTAGTAGTAGTAGTAGTAGTAGTAGTAGTAGTAGTAATATATTATTTATACCCCACCCATCTGGCTGGGTTTCCCCAGCCACTCTGGGCAGCTTCCAACAAAAGATTAAAAATACTGTACATTAAGACATCAGTCATTGAAAACTTCCCTAAACAGGGCTGCCTTCAGATGTCTTCTAATCATGAGATAGATGACTTTTACTAAACATTTCCATCTATCTCTGCAAGTAAACAGAGAAAAGACCCCAAGAATGAGAGATGGGCCAGCTTCCCCCCAACCTGATGTTCTCCACATGTTATTATTGGCTCAGCCTATCCCATCAAAATGGACTTTTGCCAGGCTGCTTCCTCTTGTCCCGCTAAGCCAGACCCTCACACCTGCATCATGAGCAAGAATAATTCCTCCTCCCTAAGTCTCCAAGCAGGCCCAGCATCACTGAGTGCTCACCTCCAAGCTCAGCTAGAGACTTCCTCTCCCCACACAGGGCAAAGTCCGCAGCAGGAGGGAAATGACTAATTGATACTAATCGATACTCAAGAGTTAGCAGAGGTCCCCTCACAAGGGTTGGGCCACTGACAGCCCAGATAAACCCTGGATAATAATCTCTTTCTAATGGTGCCTGCCCTCAGGAGGGGCACCCGCTGCAGCCGAGCCTGTTTCCAGGGACTCAAAGGCATGTACAACCATTGCAGAACTACAAGGAAAACAATGAGGTAGGAATAACTCCTCCTTTTGTGAACTGCCCTGACTTTTCCAAGCTGAAAAACATTCTCTGCGGGTGTATTCATGCCTTTGATGCAATATTAGTGGATTTCTACTGGACCGTCCACACATCACTCTGCTGTATTAATTGTTCTATGGTGTTCTCCAATATTAGCATATTATTGCCGTCTGAAAGGGTACTAGAGCGCAACAAAAGCTGCACAAAAAAAAGTTACAGGATCTCAGTAGGAAGTTACAGGACATGGAAATGAAGCAGAATGTGTCCAGTCCTGGTGCCTTCAAGGGGCAAACAGTAATGAAAGTGGGATCACGTCTATCTGCCATGATGGCACCATGAGCACAAATCATTGTGCATGCACAATAAAAAGGACATGTGGAGGGGGCCATGGATAGACCAGTAGAAAAGCATTTCACTGTCTTTATCAGATCCTGGGGGGTGCTTATATGGCAGAGTTTAAATTCATGGATTTCAGTGAGCTCAAATGGGCTTCACTCCATGGCCCAATTCACCCATCACATGGACAGGCTAGCTGGGACTGAAGTCCATAACATTTGGAAGGCATCAAGTTGGTGAAGGCTGCTATAGTTACTGGCTTACCATGAACAAGGATATGCTTCCTGCTTTGCTTCTCCACTAGTTGAAACAACAAACCACAATCCCTGGCTTAGTCCTATGAGGGATTACAGCTCAAACAAACCACATTCAGGAAGTCAAGAACAAACCTTGACGTTACATGGTTATTTGTTTGGAGCAAAACAAACCATGACCCCTCACAGAGCTAAGCCAGGGACTGTGGTTTTTTGTTTTCCCTAGGGAGGAGAAAAGTGACAGACACCTGCACATTCATGGTAAACCATTAACTATGGTTTACCATGATGGGTGAGTGCAGACTATATTGGAATGCTGCTGCTTCGTTTTTCTTAAGGCTTGAAGCGGAACTTGGTGTTTGTTCTGGCACTAGAATACACAAAGCCTCTGTCGTTTGAATGTGTACTGCATTCAAATATGTATACTGTTCCTGTAATCAACATGTAAGGCTACCAAATTTATTACTTGCTCCTGGTTCTCTGCTTTCAACAGCACTTAGATCTTTAGAGTTTAGCCAGTACCAATCCTCACCTCCTGTCCATAATAAGCTTCTCATGCTGGTTTCTGCAGATCAGGTTTTTGTTAAAGAAACAATAACTCACAAGGATGGGGGGTAGGTTCCTGACATTTGACAACCCTAATTTCCTTTAGCTTTAGACATAATCTTGTTGACTTGGTTTTGAATGTTAGTGTACCCAGGTGTATGCACTTGCAACCTTCATTCAACCAGTGATGTTGTAGAATGTGGTTCATAGCTAGGCAGTCTTCAGTGATCCAAGTTTCTCACTTGGTCAGCTTAGGATCATTGATAGCATTCTGCCGAAGCTTCTGAGTCTCCATCCCAGAATACTTTATTTAATTTAATGTGGCATTTGGTTGATTTAATGTGGTAAGTATAATGTTCCTTTATACTTGCCACATTAAATCATCTCGTCAATTAAACTTCAGGCATTTACTGGGCACCCACCTGGTATCCAACATTGGCCCTTGTAATGCCCTATATTCCCATATAAACTTATCCCCTTCCACAAATGTACCAGAGCCCGATGGCAAATTCAAGTTTCTTTTTCTGACATTTCCTTCTCTCGAGCCATAGTTGCAAAAGGGATTGTTGGGCTTCCACACTAATATCATTCATCTGTATAACCTGGTCATCAAAATCAATAGATGGTCATTTCCATGTATAGAGGATCATTTAAACATTTAGTTAGTAGTGGTGAGTTGGATATTATTCAGCCATCTCAGAGAGTCTATTGAATGCAATGAGCAAGTATTGCAAATGTGTTTATCAGTCCTGGCCACAGATATTTTTATGCTCGAAGCAAAACAAGCACACACATGCACACCACATAGCTGAGAGCCTGCTCTGGACAGGAGTTCGTTATTAAGAGCACTTCAGATAGGAGGCAGGAAAATTGCACCCTTCCTGAAAGCTACTGCCCAACGCCGACTGCTTCATGGCATTTCATAGCCCTGCCAGCTGGGCCCTGATGCCTGTGTGTGCAGGGAATGGGAACAAGGGGGGAGGGAGAGAGAGCTGGAAAGCAGGAGGGGGAGGAAGAAACAGAGAGGGCTGGAGGAGCGGCCCAGACTGGGAGGTGGGGACATCCTTGTGGCTGGCTCCCAACTCAATCCTGGGGGGGGGGGAGCATGCCTGGTGAAGATTGGCTGCCGGTTCCCCCCAAGAGGCTGCTTTGGAAACCTAGAGGGGGTGGTGCTAAACAGCCCAGAGCAGAGACTTCAACTTAATCTAGCTTCAGCTCACTCCATCCCACCGATAGTGCCAGATACAACCTTGGGGGAGAATGCTTTTGCTTGCCTAGGCGCAGGCACACCCGTTTTAAGAGGCAGGTGTTGGCTCCTTGGCTGGGCTTGGCCCAGGCAGTGCCCTTCATTCAGCTTGGCTCCCATCGGCGCTCGTGGCAACCAGAGTCCCACATTCTCTCCCTCTCTCTCCCCTGCAGCCGAGGGAGCCCTGAGGGGAGTGTCTCTGAGCCATGATGTCACCCTGCCCATGGAATGCCCTGGGCACTGTGCTGCTGGTTCTGGTGCAGGGCTGGGCGCTGTCCGTGAGTCAGGAGTACGACTACTACAGCTGGCAATCCGACAACTTCCAGCATGGACGCTTCTACACTAAGCAGCCCCAGTGCGTGGACATCCCGGCCGACCTGCAGCTCTGCCACAACGTGGGCTACAAGCGCATGCGTCTCCCTAACCTGCTGGAACACGAATCCATGCCAGAGGTAAAGCAGCAAGCCAGCAGCTGGGTGCCCCTGCTGGCCAAGCGGTGCCATTCTGACACACAGCTTTTCCTGTGCTCCCTCTTTGCACCTGTCTGCCTGGACCGGCCCATCTACCCGTGCAGGTCGCTGTGTGAGGTGGTGCGCGACTCGTGCGCTCCTGTCATGGAATCCTACGGCTTCCCTTGGCCTGACATGCTCAACTGCAACAAGTTCCCCTTCGACAATGACCTGTGCATCGCTGTGCAGTTTGGAAACAGTCAGGCAACTCAGCCACCAGGTAACTGCATGGGGAGACTGCGATGGGAGGGGGGGGGCTGTGCTAAGAGATTGTTTGGGAGGCAATGTCTCTCTTACAGAACCCCACACTCATACTGCCCATGAGACCTTGGGTCCTAGGGTACGAGGCTCAGGCATACAGCCAACTAGGCACTAGATAAGGGTAGGCGCCCATTAGACCTTGGCTCCTAGGGTAAGAGGTTCAGACATGCATCCAGCTCTGCTCTCGCTGCTCCTAGCTCAGGTTATCATTCAAAGCTCTGCTGGTATTGCAAAGTGTGCAAGAGACTGCCAGTCTATCAGGGCATAGTCCAGAAGGGTGGATGGAGCACAAAGCAGTTAGGCTAGGCCAAGAATTGGAGTTTGTCCCCATGTTCATTGCTTATCCAAGCCTTTTCCTGAACTGGTAGTGGCAAGTGGCTTCAAAGCTGAAAATCATCTCTCCTTTCTCTTCATGTCCCAAGACCAGGCAGTTTCTCATTACGTTTGTTGTGAGACATTATACAGTACTTGAGGCTCTGAGAAAATATCCTGTCACAGTTGTGAAATGAGAGTAGTAAGTGGCTTTCTCAACACTCACAATATTTGTGGTGTTTATCCCCCTCCTTTCGTGAAGTTTACATAATTTCCCATTTCATTATGTTGAAATAGCATACTGCAACAATGAGCTTGATGCATATGTTGATCTTTTGATTCTTCCTGCCAGCTTGAATGCAGCTATATGGCAGGTACAGGGAACCTGTGATCCTAAATTACAACTCCCATCATCTCTACTCATTGGCTCTGCTGAGTAGGGGCTGATGGGAGATGGAGTCCAATAACGCCTGAAGGGCCACAGGTTCCCCACCCTGCTCTATATAGGGCTTTCCTTGTCCTTGAGATACCACCTCCAAAAGTCCCTTTTCATAAGAAGCATCTTTACAAAAGCAGCAGCATCCCAACACAGGGCAAACCATCCATCTGACCATTTGCCCTGTATCTGTTCCCTTGCAGAGGCACAGCCTTCTACATTGCATACTCCCAGTGGGATAGCTTCCTATCAGTTTCTAGGACAGCCTCTGCTGAAGATTTCAAATCTGTAAAAATATTCCTTAATTGGATTAAACCAGGTCATGGGAATAGGGTGGGTCCTGAAAACACACTGCTAGAACCCTAATTTGGGGGGGTCAGAAGCAGGTTACAGGGCTTAAAGGATGGAATGGAAGAGCAAGTGCAGCAAACACACATATCTACCTATGTGTGATCAATAGCAAATTCTTTAGCTCAGCAACCACTGGGAGGCAGTGTCCAATTGAACAGAGAACATCCAAAGAGACGTATAGCAAAGGACATTTGGTAAGATTGGAAACAGGAGCCAGAATCCATGACTTCTCTATAGCTTATCCTGTTACTCAGTGGAATAGGGTACCTTACAAACCCCCACTTTAAGTGCATATGGCAGCCTTGTTTTGTGCACACTGGGTGAGGTGGAGGGCATCTCCCAAAATCCATGGTCACATATTTCAACATTCCTCTCCTAGTTTGATGAGCAACATTTTTCATGGATGAGTTTCCACCAGGCTCATTTTGAATTCAGGAGTATCCTTGGAGGCACAGTATATTATTTCACTCCCCAAACAAGTGGGAAATTCAGAGGAGCCTTTGCAGGATCATTTTCCTAGGAGGATCGCTGCTTGGAGGAGTGAGCAGCAGAGATTTATGGTGCGGCTGTGAAAATCTGTTTATTTACAAATGAACAGGCAGGGAACCAGGAGTAGCACAAATATTGCCTGTTAGCACAGACCTTGGAATCCAAAGTCTAGCAAGCTCCAAGCACACTTCCTGCTTCTTCCTAGTCATCACTTCCAGCATCTAACTTAACACCATCCGTTGAAAAATTGCCCTCCTAAACAACCCTGTCTCTGATCTCCAAGGAAGTCCTATGGGCTTGACTCTCAAAACTTTAGGATAGCTGGCGGGAGTGGGAGACCCTGGAAAAGGGATGCAAAGTCTAAAACAGCAATAGAGTCTAAGGCAGGCATTTTAAGAGCTTTACTGACTTGCTGGTTTTATGGTTAATTTTCACAATTTTATCATTTTATAGTTTCACAACACATTGGTTAGACATTACAGTGTTAAGCCATAACTTGTTGAAGTGAAAATGAACTCTCACTCACCCACACCAGGTAGAATACCCTGAGCGACGGCACCCCCAAAGATTGATCATCCATACCAGATCTGGGATGCTAAGGAACACCTACCAACTTGTTATAATGACATTTCTCTGTGTGCGGCTTCAGGAAGGCGCCAGAGATGTCCTGTTCTATTCCTTGTTTCATGCCAGTATTAAATTAGTGACCCAACTTACAGACTCTCCTGAGTAAGGATCTCAACATGCTCACTTATAGAGCAGATGGCTGGGTTGTGTGTCCTATAAAGTTAGGGGCAAGTTTGAAAAGGCTAAAGAAACAGTATCTTCATGCAAATGTCAGGTCACACTCAGCTTTCATACTTTTTGTTTTTTGTAGCATATATATATATATATATATATATATATACTGGAGTAACTGTAGGCAAAGGATGTCAGAGGTCTTGTACTTTTAATGTTGGTATAAAGCTGGGAGCCTCGTAAGGATCAGCTTCACACATTAAATACCTTTTCTACCTAACTATTAAAAGATAAAGGAGCTCTGTCCTTCTTTACATCTAGGCCAACCTTTGTGTCCTTACTCCTTCTCTCTGCTTTTCTTTCTTCTTCTCTGAAGAGAGGCAGGGTGGTGCTACATCTCATTTAACCCACCCTAGGACACAGAATGGCCCAGGAGTGGGTCCCACCATGTCCTCATGCATTCCACCAGGATGGATAGCCAAAAGAGGCTCCATAGCTTCCCATGGAGCATTTCATCTGCCTGGATTAATAGTAAGCATTCCCCTCAATACATAGCTAAAAGTCCAAGGAGAAGGCTGGTCCTCAGCTTCATTCATCACTGCTGTAGTCATGACATGACCATTCTTAGCCCAGGGGATCCCCAACTGTGGCTCATGGATCATCAGAGGCCCCCAAGATTCATTCAGGTGATCCATGGCATGTTCATATTAAATGCTCACATCAATTTTTAATTGTATTTTTAATTGCTTCTTTTATTTATTGCATTGTAAGTTATTATACTTATTATTCCATAGAATTCAAATATATAAAAAAGAAGCAATACAAAATACTATACAAAACCATGCAGCGTATAGCCCAGCACATTACAATTGTTACAACAAGCAGAAAAATCATTAACTGGTCCGCTAAGACCCTCAGCAATTTTCAAGTGGTCCATGGGGAGAAACGTTTGAGCATCACTGGCTTAGCCTACACTTCAGGCTATTCCCTCCAGTCAGCCCAGACCACCAAAATGTTGTTTTGCCCTTGACTGACAGGTTCGCATCATACAACACAGAGCCTTGGTTTCCCTCATCCTCTCCCATCAAATATCTCCTTTGATTTATATCATTTTAACCCTCACGCACGCACTTTTAGGGGGCGGGAAGATAGCAAAATTAAATGGAATGTTATTTAACTGGGGCAAGGATAGGGGTTTGTATAATGGGGGAAATTAAGAGGTGGATAAAGAATCAGTTAAACAAGAAACAAATATTCCCCCCTCAAAAAAAAAAGAAGAAGAAGCCTTCTCCAGCTGTTCAAAAGGCTTTCCAATAAGGATTACGGGCTTCCTGTTTGGGTGAGCCAAACTCCCAAACCTTCTGTTAGTTCAAGATACTTCATGACAGGCCAAAGAAAGTTCGTGACGAGGCAGATGATCTGGGATTGAGAATCATCATTATTAGATGTGGGCTGCCCATGAGAATACAGCCAGGAAGTTGCAGGGCCAGAGCTGTGAGCAATGTCCCAAACATTTGGCAGGTGAGGACTCACTTTTTTTCCATCTTGCAGTGTCAAAGATCTGCACCCAATGCGAGATGGAGCACAAGGCAGATGGTATCATGGAGCAAATGTGTTCCAGTGACTTTGGTGAGTCATCCGTTCAAAGAGGGAGGGATTGGGGAGTCTCCGCTTGGGGCATCTGAGAGTGAAGCTGAAGCTCTGCAGAACAACTGTTGAGAATGTGTTGCAAATTCTTTACTTGCATTCCCCTATCTTCTACAACTTACTGGGATTCAAGGTTCCCTTTGAACCCCAGCCTTTGCCATCAGACCTCCAACAACTTCCAGCTTGTTTCTGGCCCAAAGCAAGGTACTGTTTTCGACCTAGAAAGCCTTACAACTCCACTCCATTGCTTAGGACAGAGCTTGTATTATGCTGGCAGAAGGTCCCAGCATTCCAAGTGGAATGGGAAAAACCACTGTCCAAAGCTCTGCAGAGTCACTATCTACCACTGTCAATCAGGAGTGGCTAAGGCCCATGTTGCTCCAGATATTATTGGACTCCATCATCCCTGATGACTGACCAAGGCTGGTGAGAGTTTGAGTCCAACATCGGAAGGGCCATGTGGTTAGTCACCCCTGGTGTGTAGACAATATTGAACTGTTAGTATGACTCAGTGTATGGCAGCTTCTTATGTTTAGGAGCAGACTGAGTCCAAGGTATCTGAAGAACCACCCTCTGAACCTGCATGCTATGCAAGACCCTTTGAGTATTTCCACACCTGGAAATTAGGGAAGAGGCCCTTTTAGGTGGAAAGACCCCGGATGTGGATTGCCTCCCCACGTAGATTAGCTTGGCACAAACAATATAGTTTAGATGGTAGGCCTATGATTAGAGTGTTGAACTAGGACCCCCCAGACATCTATTTATTTGTGCAATCTTGATTTGTTCTCATTATGTTATTCGGGTGGTTATGGTAGATCCCACTTTCAATAGTGTCTCTGCATACGAAGGTTTTAAGGCACCTATGGTCAAGGGTCCCTTTACCTTTACCTTTTTACAGTTTGTTTGCCAATCCATGAATGTCCTGTAGCTTCCTGCTGAGCTCCTGTAACTTTCCATGCAGCAAATGTTCAAGTGTTCCTTGGTTGGTTTTGCACTACAGTGCAAGGTATCCCTGCAGATGGCAATAATGTGGTAACATCGGGGAAGCACTGCAGAACCATTAGTAAAGCGGAACAATGTGTGAGTGGTCCGGTCTAAACCCATAATTAATGCACTATTATTGTGCGAATGCCATGCTACAGAAATATATAAATAAAAGTTAAGACCAGCATTCTGGAGACAGGGCTCCAGGTCTGAAGAATCCAAGATACAAATCCCCACTTGGCCATAGAACTCACTGGGTGACCTTAGCCTAGTCCAACTAACTTTATAGGGTTATTATGAGGGCAGAAGGTTGGCGGGAGGGAGAGAGAGAGACACATACACATGGACCTGTGTTCCTAGTAGGAAACAAGGATAAACATGCAAAATAAGCAAAGAAAGCATGTCCGGCCTGCTTGTCTGTTTGCTTAAGCTATTAACTAGTTGTAACTATTTCATCAGCATTATTTCTGCTGGTGTTTTTTATATCATCTGTATTTTTAAATCTATGTTAATTTTGGCTTAATTAGGCTTAACACCATGCAGAATCCGTTCATTGCCCTGAAGACTGTTTATACTGGAAAATACAACATACACATTTTTAAAACAAATCATCATAAAAATAAAACGTGATGTGCCTCATTCCAGAAGAAAGGAGGCCGGTCTGCTACTTCAGATGATAATCCCAGAAAAACAGTTAAACGCTGAAAATAGGAGGCAAGGATCAGAGAGGTTTGTCAGATCTGTCTCCCAGCAACTCCCCTTTGAGGCATCCATCTCTTTGATGAACTTTTGGCTTCAACAGCGATGTTCCCAGTTGACCATGGCAAAGAGGGTTCAGGCTGACACAGTGTTGTTAAAAAAAAAAAAAGTTAAAACAAAGCAGTGCAGTATCCACCCAGCAGCTCTTTTTGCTTCAGATTTCAGCATGACCAGTAAGGCAGTTTATACTGGGGCTAACAAGATATACACAGGAGAGACCCGTCCAGAAAGTGATCAGAAATCAACACCTTTACCTTCTTTCCTTGACACACGTCATACAAGCTGGTTCCAGGGTACAACACCACTTTTTCTCAACACACAAGACCAGGCAATTTGGATCATCAGCATCTTGGGCATGGTTTGTGGGAGGCCAAGAACCACTTCACATGAGATATTTCCCCTACATATGATCTGGCTCCCAGCCATCTATAGGATCCTCTTCACATAGAAAATCAGTGCATGGATACAATCACAGTGATTTTCACCATTATGCAGCAGCTGCAAAGTCCTGCTGTAGTCAACAAAATTGTTCCTTGATGTAACCAACCCTGTACTTCAAAAAAAAAAAAAAGCTATTAAGATATACCGCATTTTCCATCTTTTTATGAAGCCGACCTACTTGCTATTGTAATGCTATTGTAAATAGCACTATATGTATACACGCATGTGTTGAGAATAGAATTTGATCTTATCCTAAACACACAGATTAAAAACAAGGATGCAAAAAAAAAAACACCTAAAAGCTTAGAAAATAGCACCAACCAATTCATAGCAATCCAAGACATATGGTTAGATTTTTATTTATTTTTAAATGGTATTTAGAACTCCTGCATGAGGAACTTCTGTACAAGAATATGTCACTGCCATCTGACCAAGTTGAGAAGCATTTGGGATTCAAGAGGGTCACAGAACTTCACTAAATAATATTGATTATATTTTATTGATTGCACTGAGTTTCCCCATGTTTTTCTACATGTTGTTGCCATATGACTCTTACTACAATCGTGGATTCAGCCATCTGAAGTTTTTTAATTGCACAGGTTCTGTGCAAGGTTGTGCTTCCTAAGCTTTTTGATTGTTGTAACCTTGTTTTCAAATCATTTATAAGGTCAAATTTTATTATTATCACATGCTTGCATAAATATTGCAAATGTTTTTTTTGGCCCTATAGTTATTACGTTGACATTATAGAAAGGTGGAAAATACACTACTGTGTATTATTTATTTATAGCTTTTTTAACCTTGATTTTTGTGTTGTTTATTTCTGGCATGCAGTCAGATATTTTCTTTCATTTCTGGTTTTTGTAGGAGTAGGCTGGAGCATGCTTCGCTCCACTCCTGGACTAAGGACAAAAACCAGGACGACTCACACCTGTTGAGGAACCTTCCTCCAATGAACCTGTGATGGGTTTATAGAGAACCAGGGTGCCTAAAGCTTAATAGATGGTGGCTTGTCCTTTTGTCAAATACAAATCTATCATTTACAAACAAATATACTCAATAGGAAGTTGAAGAGGAATTCCATGACCTCTCATTCAGTCAGAGGAGACAAACCAGATCCTGACAGTCTGTGTGTCCCAACTCTATTACCTACTCCTCATCTCCCCTTGGTGACTTTTTTTTAACAGGGCCAAATATGTAGCTGTCAAACAAGTCAGTCCTCCTAATCCCTGTCCTTATGAACTCACACCTTATGAACCCCCTCTTCTTGTTCCCTCACTTTGACTTCACCCAATTGTCTGTAAGCTCCTAACACAATCTGCTTCCCATTTACCCCTACAGTGGTGAAGATGCGCATCAAGGAGATCAAGAAAGAGAATGGGGAGAGGCGATTGGTGGCTGCGCAGAAGAAGAAAAAGCTGCTCAAAGTGGGGCCGTTGAAGCGCAAGGACACCAAGAAGCTGGTGCTGCACATGAAGAACGCAGGTGCCTGCCCCTGCCCCCAGCTTGATGACCTCAGTGGCAGCTTTCTGGTGATGGGGCGAAAGGTGGGTGGGCGGTTGCTAGTCTTGGCCATTTACCGCTGGGAGAAGAAGAATAAGGAGATGAAATTTGCTGTCAAATTCATGTTCTCCTACCCTTGTTCCATGCACTACCCTTTCTTCTATGGGGCAGACCCCCACTGAATCCCCACTCATTCCAAGAACCCTGCTCATCTTCTTCACAGCACTCCCCACACTTTTTGGTTCCCCACTCTTAGCCCACAGAATACCCTTTTTTATATGGGCTGACCTACACAAAGCCACATACTGTTGGGAGCCCATCCCTGCAACAGGACTCTTTCTCCTAAAGCACAAACTCCATTAGGACCAGCTCCGTTAAGTTCCAGGTCAGAGTTCCGCCCATCTTGAAAGCTTTGGAGACCATGCAGAAATCCACCTCATTCCCAACACGCCTTCACTAGACGAATAAGTCTTAGCACCTGCAGCAAACATCTCTTATCAATCCCGGTATACCCAAGCTCCAATAGAGGCTGAATCACACAGAATTTTAGTTGCAACCTTTAGTGGAACATTTAAGGTAAATCCCAGTCCATTCTTAATTCCTACTAGTGAGAAGCCAAAGATTTTGAAACATTGTGAGCAGGGCAACCAATGCTTTCCAATCGCAACCTTTCATTTTCATAGTGCATTGAACTACTTAGTTCCAGGGATGGGAAACCTGCAGCCCACCAGATATTGTCAGACTCCAAATCCCACATCCCCAGCTAGCAAACCTAATGGGCAGGGATAATGAGTGCTGTGGTCCAGCAACATCTGGAGAGTCTAACATCCCCATCCCATCCCTGACTTAGTAGGAGTTGGCCAGGCGCAGTATGAAGCTCTAAACATCTCAGACTGCCAGACACCAGATGCGTTGTACAAGCTACAGTGTCCCAACTAATACTTCACTGGACTGACAATCCCCAGTCCTGGCCTCCTCTCCTAGGTTCTGCATAGCATCTTCTCAAGCCATGTAGAACCTTAAGCAGACACTAAGCAAGGCCTCCCTAGAAGCCTCCCCCAATTTTCAGCTCGCATGACCATTGGCTACTACTCTGGCTGGGGGTGATGAAAGTTGTTGTCCAGGTTGCAGGAGGCTGCTGGTCTGTTATATGATTGTGATGCTTGAAGTCGAGTGACATCCCTCAACTAAAAAGTCCAGGTCTTCCGTCATAACATGGTCATTATTGCATCGGCATCTTTTGAGGCACAGATCTGTACAGCATCCTTAAACATCATGGGGCAGATCCACCCCATAGATTTTGAACACATTCAACAAACATCTAAAGCACATGACTTCCTCCCCCCCCCCCAAAAAAATAATAATCCTGGGAACTGTAGTTTGGTAAGGGGACTGGAAATTGTAGCTGTATGAGGGTGAAACAATGATTCCCATGATTATTCAGGGGAGGTCATGTGCTTTAAATGTGCACTGAATGTGCTTTGAATGTATGGTGGGGATCTGCATGTGGCAATACCAAGCGAGGTACGAGGCAGTGACTTGGAACAGTTCCTAACACAAACACTCTGCCTGAGGCCTTCATGCTCCCTTACAGAGTAATAGACATCAAGTAGTCTATAGATTTAATTACCCAAGACCATTTGTAATTGGGGATGGACGGACCACTTTGCTATATGAAGCCGTTTATGTGAAGTTTCACTGAAAAATATGCCCGTCACCAATACCGCCTCCTTCCCCTCTCCATGTTTACTTGCCTATGGCCAGTAGAAATATCATGACTATACCAAGTAGGTTAGTGCACCAACCCCAGAGGAGCACATCAGACCTGTGCATGCACCAGTGAGGAACCAAACCACCAACTGGGCCTGCCGGGTGGCTGTGTCCACCACACAGGATGCCAGACCACCAACTGAGCCTGCCCGACAGATGGCAAACACAGGACGAATGTGTCTCCCTGGGGCCCTTCCATCTGGCAGTTTTCCAGACTCCTGAATGGTCAAGACCAGCTGGCAAGTTAATCCTGGAGCGAATATTTATAGCATCAGCACTGCCAGTTTCACCGCTCCCCACACCAGCTGTGGGGGAGTGGGGGCTGCCCAACACAAAGCAAGCTGTAGGAATTGAGTCTGGCTCCCACACACAGAGGGGTTTTTCACTGGGGCTCATTCCCAGCCAAAGTTTGCTGAGGAAGAGAGGGTGGTAGCTGAGGAGCTCTTGAAAGAACCTCTCTTCCACTCAGGGAATCCTCCGCCCTCAGATTTTCCAGATGAGCTGCTTTGCAAATCATACAGCATGTCACACACACAACTTACTATTGAGTTCATGGTTTTTGGCCACAACTGCGTGTCATGACTCACTTTTCCCTGCACACTACTGAGAGGATGTTGTTGAAGATTCAGCCACCAGTTCGATCGGTTTTTGTACACTGAAGTGGTGGTGGTCGGGTGTTGCCATCTTGTCCTTTGCCTCAAACCACTAAGTGTCTTTGGCTAGCCTTGCCTTTTGTCATGGCAAACTTGCCATCCTGCTGGAGGGTGCTGAGGGAAAATGACTGGGCTGGTAACTTCTCACACACTGTCCCCTCAAAAATGTGAGCTATTTTGTTCCCCCTAGGACTTCAATCCCCTTCAGATTGTGAACTGGGATATATTTACAAGCTAGGCCATTCCCCACTGTTCTTACATTTTAATTTATATGGCCTGCACATCACTTGGACACTGACAGATTCTCATGGCACCTGACAGCTTCAGAGCCATCATTGCTTGACTTCAGGGGAAGAATGCAAACACCGTGACTTACAAAAGGAACCCTTTCCACTTCTTTGAATCAGATCACAGAGAGGGATTAACAGTGCATTTACTTTTGTCCAAGAATTCCGTGCTACATCTAGTTAGCAAATTAGGTAGAAAATAAAGTTCCCACCTGATCAACACTCACATGGGACTAGTCCTCAAGGCCTTAGCAACCTGAAACATTTACTGACCCAGGTCCACTGAGTAGGAGCATCCCTAGCTTGGGGTTGCTTTTGTTCATGGAGCAGCCTTTTATTAAAAATACCATACTTGGGGATGCAGTCATCTGCATTCAATTTTCTTCACTGAAAATGCCATTTAAACTATTAAATTTGGTCCTTTTTTAAAAAAAACAACCAACAGGTCTTCCATCTTCTATCCTGTCCAATATCCACTCTAATAAATCCCATAGAACCTATCCTGATCACCATCTTGCCTGCTTGGTTTTGCCACCATTTTAGCTGAAATTTTCATTGACCCTCGTTTCATCTTGGGGACATGCATGCAGAACTTAAGATAGCTCTTGCTGTGTTCTCTATCATTCAGGATTTTTTCATTATTTTTATTAATTCCAAGTCTTTCATTTAAAAAGTGTTCCAGCTTCATTTTATGAGGTGCTTTTTTAAAAAAAATGAATCTTTCACAAAATGAAGCTGGAGCACTCATGTTGTGGCATCTGCATAGCATTTCCAGCTCAGCCAAGTATTCATAAAATATTTATTTTCTGCTTATGGCAGATCCAAACTCAAAATTAATTCCCATTGATATCATAACTAACTTGCCCCATTGATTTCAGTGGGAACTAGATCTGGCCCAGCCTCAATGTTTTGAGTCATATGATGTATTCGTGCTGCATTTATTTCATGTCAAGGTCATCAGGGACACTGAATTCTGGCACCATTGTTGTGTTTAGAGTACTGCCATTATCATTCTGGTAACGGCAGGCTTTAATCATGAATGTAGCACTCCATTTTCAGTTCCCCTAATCAACAGATAATCAATGAGAAAGCTAAGCAAGGTCTTCTGCCTCAAATTTGCTTGCAAAAGCCAACTTATACATTCCGCTCATTTGCCTTTTATCTCAACATTATTATTTATGGATACTTGTGGATTTTTAAAAAAGGCACCGGGTTTATCAAATTAATATTAATTTTTTTCAGAAGCATCCTTCATAATTTAATTTGAAACGACACTTCTTTTTGATGCAGAAATACTAATAAGCTACAGGAAATTACCTGCAACTTTAGCGAGTGATTTCATTGCAGCACTAAACTCCCCTCTTCACTTCCCTCACTGCCAGGTCCATACAGGCCCTGTTAAGAGTTCCTCCACAGCAGCACAGTGGTTCTTGGGTCTTCCTTACATCTGCGATCACACGGCAATAAATAGAACAAAAGCTTTTGCATTATCTTAGCGGGAGAGTCTGCAAAGATCTCTCAATATACCGGAAGCTGCATATTGAGCCACAGCCGCTGCACTCTTTATCATATGCTCAGTTCTGTATGAAAACCGCCATGCAGTGAAGCTTAAAATGTCACACTGCGCTAACAATACAGGAAATTTTAAGAAATACTGTTTATTGAGCGAGTATTGGGAGTACCATCTCCACAATGTAATATTTTGGACCAGAGTTTGGTTTTTTGTACTGCTTAAAGAACTATTTCAGCTGTTTTTACTGTATGTCTGTGAGCTGCCTTGAGATACATGTAAGAAGCAACTTATAAAGTTAACACTACAGCTGCACCAGGTAGGCTAATTGCTCCTGAGGAATCATCCTGCTTATGAGTGTTTACCAACCGGCTGAAGACCAAGTTCACCAGTTGCAGGAAGGTGGCTTCTCAGTTGTGCAAGAGCCAACGAGCTGCTAGCATCCTGCCATGTGGCGCTTTGTCCTCTTCCACATTTCCAACCTTATGACGGGGAGGTGGCAGCCACATGCTATGACCAGGCAACATGGAGGACCAGCTCTCCGTGTGGTTGCACTTTGTAACTCTACATGGAGCCGCCGTACCAAAATATAAAATAAAACAAGTCATCCCAATCCGTGTTATACCTGTGTAAAATGCCGCCGAGATCTGGCCTTTGGGAGTAAGCTATAGAATCTCAAGCCTTGCTGTAAGTACCAGAAGGGAACCAAGGAGGATGCGATTCTAAACACAGGGAACATTGTGTGAACTTTAGCTAACAAGGCAGCCTTGTTCTTTCTTTCTATAATCCTTTCTCCTCATTCATTGTACCCGTGACAGAACCTGACCTTTTCCCTAAGGTTATTTCCAAGAGCAGCGACTGTGTTCGTTTGCCAAGGATGGTTTATTTCATACTAGAATTCAAATAAATCATCAGTGACATTTCAGCCCCAGATTCGAGCACCAGCAAGCTGTGACATGGCACTGAGGAGTCTGCCCATGCTTTTTCCTGCTAAGATGGTTGAGGGGAAAGCAGAGGCTACACCACAACTCAATGTTCAAAACCATCTGCAAGAGGTTGTTTTAACCTCCCTTTACAGATAACCTGAAAGAAGCACCATAGTTCCCTACAGGTTCTCTGCTTACACATAAAACCAACCAGCAAGCAGTACAGAGCGAAGGATCTGTCAATTTCATTCTCCCCGTTTCTCTTTTTTCCAATTCTTTGCATTGCAGCAATTTGCAATTTTTAAAAATCCTCATGAAAATTCATCAGCCTTTTAGTGCACACTTCTCTTAATAGATGTGTTGTTGTATGCAATTTTGACTTACATACACATTTTTGCAAGCAATTTCCCCTAGCATAATGTAATTTTGTATGCTATTTTCACAAATAACTTAAGTTTTCACACACACACACACACACACACACACGTGCATTTCTGTAAACGTTGCTTGGCTGGTGGAGAACTGCATCACAAAATTTGGCTAAGTGTGAATTTCAAAGGATCGCTTTCAGTTCATGAACTGTTTTGGAAAGTGTGGATTTGATACCATTTGGCTTCAGATACATATGGAACTGAACTTCTCTTCCATCCCTAGCAAGTGGGAAGAAAGTAAGCCAAGGCCCATCACTCAGAGGGTGAACATTTGATGTGTGGAGACCCCTGTACTAGCAGAGCCTCCCTGCACAATTTTAAAGATACTTAAGCTTCTTAAGCTACCAGCTATCACATCTCTTAGTGATGAATTCCAGGAGCTGTATTCTATATCATGTGAAAAAGTACCTTTTGTTTGGCCTGAATCCATTTCCAGTCTGGTTTTGTATCTTGTGTGTGTTCGTGCCCCCCACCCCCAATTAAAAATGCTTCACCCCAAAGAGCTGGAAAATGAGTCGCCATGCACTCCCAGTACACCTCCCCACTTACTGTGGTCCAGTTTGCAACATTAGTCCATCTTTACACATTGTACGGGAACTAGGCCAAAATCCATGCCTCCTCTACAGCTCTCCATCCCACCTGCCTCAATAGACTATAGCCTCTATTTCTTAAAACACAGTGGTCTGCTCCAGTCTCCCTTCTGCCCTGCTGCCCCCAGATGCCTCATTTAATTTGCTCCATCTAGCACCCCCCGATTTGATTACCGTAAATTTCGCTCTATAACACGCAGATTTTTTCTCCTAAAAAGTAAGGTGAAATGTCTGTGCGTGTTATTGAGCGAATGTGTGGTCCCTGGATCTGACTCTCCGGAGCTAAGGGGCAAAATAGGCAAAAATAAGATCGGGCGGCGGGCGGAGGGAAGGCGGAAGCTGTTGCTTTCCTGCATTCTGCCTCAGGGTCTTACTGCCCACCCGCTTCTGTTGCTGTGTTTGCTCAAACTCAACAAAGAGCAGGGAATCCCCTGCCCTCCTGGCAAGCAGAGGGTTAAGGAAATGATCGAGTCCTTCCGTGCAGGCTCCAGCCCACCACCTCCTCCTCTCCGTGCTCTAGGGACTCGCAGGCAGCCGAAAAACACGCAAGTGGGAGAGAGAGAGAGAGAGAGAGAGAGAGAGAGAGAGGGCTGGCTTGGGTTTGGTGGAGGGGACTTTTGCTTTACAATGGTAGGTTTCTCATTTCTTTTCCAAAAGCAGAGAGCCCTGCCCCCAGGCCCCCTCCAAATTACAGCTTCTCCAAGCAATGTACTGCTGGAGGGAGACAGTATGCTTGTTTGGAAGAGAAACCCTGCTTCCCTGCTCGTAAGTAACAGCAGGCTGGATTGCAGAGTGAGACATGGAAATCTCTGGATTTATATGCTGTATATCAAATATCTTAATCTATACTTTCTAACGCGGCAGGTAAATCAGAATCTCCTGAGCCAGGAGGATTACAGCATCTCTCCTCTCCCCTTCATTAAAAGCCTAATACTCTTCTTTGAAGAAGTATAACGTGAGAATGTTTTTTATATATATTTTTTAAAGTTCATTTCCTCATTGTGCGCTATACACTGATAATTGCTGCCACAATAACAATTGATTGAAAATGGAATTTAGCCCCCCCCCCCCATAGAGAGCTGTTCTTCAAACGTTTAGCCTTAATACAGTGGCTGATGTAATACCCTTCTGCTTCACTAGGCATTTTATATAGGGACATTAAAATTGATTTTCTACATCTTGGCAGATGAAAAAAAGTGTGTTACATGCCCTATTGCCCAAAAGTGTGCAAGCACAGAGCAAAGGTTGCAGTGACAGAGGTGGCCAAAAAAGAAATACCGTAAATAAAAAAGAAATCATACTTCGTATATCCTGTCTGTTTTATCCTTAATAGGGACTTTTATAAGCATGGATCCACAGGATCTTTGCATTGGGTCACCCCAAATTCACCATCAGATAACATAGCATGTCCATGGCTACAGCCTGCACCAAAAAAATCACGCACCCACTGTTGCCTAGGGTCGCAGTGGTGCAAAAACGTGGTTACAAAGCATGGATCCACATGGATCCTCAGGATTTTTGCATTGGGCTACTCCAAACTCACTGTCAGATCACATGTCTGTGGCCACAGCATGAACCACAAAAATCATACATCCACTGTTTCATTTAGAATATTTTTTTCTTGTTTTCCTCCTCTAAAAACTATGTGCGTGTTATGGTCTGGTGCGTGTTATAGAGCGAAAAATACGGTATATCACCTTGCAGATACACTCCTAAGGCTCCACAGCAAGCTTTATGCATAACTAGGACCCCTGTTGCCCATTCCACCTTCATCACATCAAAAGCCATTTCAGACACTAGGAGCGCTGGCTCCACTTTCCAAGGACGCTATTTATTGGTCATATATATATTTATATATATGCATGTGTGCGTGTGGGTAAGTCTGCTAGAGAGCAGCAAAAATAAACACAAAAAAACCTCTCCTCTCCTGTAGAAAAGATCCACATCACAAGGCAATTGCCTCAATCCTCCAGCTGGGCTTTGTGATGAACTCCCGTTGGCTGTAGCAGCTTCTGCTCCCTCCAACACAGCAAAGCGTCAAAGGGAAGGAGAATGGCAGGTCCAGGTTGGGCCAAACTGAAGAGCTTTGGCTAAAAGCTATCTAGAAAGAGCAAAGTCAATGGTGGGGAGGGAAGAGATGCCGTCCGTATCTGACGCAGGGATAGGAAACAGGTCCACCTTGGGGCAACACACGTCTGCCTTCTTTACACAGCAGAGCCAACTTACAGATGCCACCCAGAGGAAGACCCAGCTTCCCCTTCCAAACACGCAGCACCTCGCTCAGTAGTGAAACACAAGACAGACGCCTGGCAGTCCAGATACCATGAGCCACCTTGCGAAGTGGGGAAGGCCAGCTTCCTGCTAGGGAAAATGGGGGCAAAGGACTTTTTTGCTTCAAGGTCGAGGAAGGAGGGAGAGCCTACAGTAGTCTAGTGCACGAGTCTCCTACTATGCAGTTAATCATGAGTGCAGGACCTCTCGCCAGCTGCTCACAGAGGGAGGGGGCACACGTGGCGGCTGCACCAGCCCCTTTCCTATTAGATGTACAGGGAAGAGTGGAAGGAGTGCACGGTGCTGTTGCTTCACTCCCCGCAAGTATCGGCAAATACGGGGTGAGACGCAGAGCGATTTCCGCAGAGGGCAGGGCTCCAGATCGGTTTCTCACTTGACGAGTGCTTGGTTGCACTGCCCGCAGACAAAGACGGTCTCCCGCTGGGCATCAGGGGCTGCAGTAGAAAGCACTGGTCAGAGACTCGGCCAAGGACTGTGCAGCTTTCCACCCACAGAACCCAACAAGTATTTTATTAGCCCTCAGGCACACACCCCAAGAGAGAGAGAGCCTCTGTCCTCTGCTACCTCCCCACTGTAGCATTAATTAGAAACAGTGAGAATTACACCCAGCCATTCCCCCAGAAGGGGAACAGCAAGCGCACAAAGGAGGAGGAGCCGCCTCCCAAGCTGCCTGCCAGAAAGGCCATCTCTCGCTCTCCCACTCCTCACTCACCTGTAGCCCCCATGTAGCTCTTGGGAACTTTGAAGGAACAGCACCTGGAGCAGAAACTGTTCCCACAGTTGCTGCAGCTCCGCTGGAGGGAAGGAAAGAGAGACAAACACAGCTAAAGGAACAAGGTCCCTGGAAGCCATTCCTTCAAATGCAAGGATTCAAGAAGGTCAATCACTGCTGACCAGAGGTCAGGCTTAAGATCCACAAGGCCGGAGGGCAGGAAATGGGAAAGGAGTAGTTGGGGGCATGCTGGGCCAGAGACTCACCCTCTTCTTTAACACAGAGAAAGTGGCTGAACAGCTTGCACAGTTCCCTGCGGAAAACCAGAGAAGAAACATGTAATGGTCAAACCTGGTGCCTCTTCTTCCACCAAATTGCATAGAAATATTGCCCTGCCCCAACGTCTGCCCACAGTCCTTTCCTACTAAAAGCCCCAACATAACTGACTGCCCCACTAGGCAGTCCAGGAGGCTCATCCAGGTGGGACCACATGCCAAGAGGGCATCCCACTGAGGGCTGTCTTCAGGACCCTTGATTCCAGGAGATTTGAAATGGGTCGGCACACTGCACCTCCCAGGTGATGCCAATCCTCCACTCCGCAAAGTTGCACCAAGAGCAGAGATGGCCGTAACCCATATAAATGTGGAATTTGGCATCATCAGGATGAGATTCCAGTGTGTCATAAGTGATCAAGTGCTAGACTTGGAATAAGAACAAAGACTTGGGCCTGGTACAAATAACCACTCAGCTCCACTAAGCAGGCTTGCTCATACTTCTCTCTCAGGGCAGAATGACATGTTACACTGGCAAGTAGGAACTCACAAGTCCAATTTCCGGAGGTAATGAAAAAAAGGGAGTTAAGGGGCTTTTTGTAAAAATGTTCGTACTTAACCCCACCCCACCCACACCTTGCCTGTAAAATGATTCTTCTGCAACAATATTTCACAATCAGAAGCGAGCTCAGCACACATATTTTTAAAGCACCAAGAACAATGGCATGTTTCTGGCATCTAACATCGGGCAGGCCTCTAACATGTGGCAGCAACTGGGCCAGAGTCTTCCCATTCTGCCACCCCCCCTTCCACAACCTGGTGCCCCCCACCCCCGATGTTTTGGACTACAGCCCCATTAGCCCAAACCAACAAGACCATGCTGGTTGGAGCTATGCAGGCTAAAGCATCTGAAGGGCACCAGGTTGAGGAAAGCTCATCTACACAGTTCCCGCTTCAGTCCCAACAAGACAACATGTCCCACGGCACCATCCACTCTTGCCACTTCCACACACCCTCCCAAATCCTGTACCGAGATTGTTGGTTGGGTAGCGCTTCCGCAGCCGCTCCGTCAGCCGTGACACCCTGCTGCGAATCACCTCGTTCTTGCTCATCATGAAGGGGCTGTCAGGAAGGCCCATGTCGAATTCTGCTGAGCAGTGGGAGACGTCGTCATCCTCCTGGGAAGGTGGAGAGGGAAGCTTGTCAAGGAGAGGCTGGTTCACACTGTGCCTACTCTGGGGCAGGAGGACAAGGGCGCACTGGGGGGCACCGCCCACTGACAAGGCGCTGAAGACAAGGAAAGGCTGGGCTAACCGTGGGCAACACACAAAATGCCAAGCTGGTGGAAGGGTTGCAGCCAGGTTTTCCAGCTTGGGAAGGTGGGCACAATCAGGGCAAAGAACACAGCAAAGACATCAACTCTGCATGAGCAACTGAAGTGAGTTTTGGCTCAAAGGCAGGGTGGCCCAGCTCCCACACTCACCATTACTAGCAGCTGGGTCTCCTGCTCCCGCAGCAAAGAGAAAAGACAAGAGATGATGTCCAGAAGAGCCCAGCCCAAGCTAGCCTTCACCTTTTATGGTGTACCCATTTCCAGAAAAGCACACTGTCTCAAGTCCCCTATTTCTCTCTCTTCCCCATACCAACATGTTCACTGCATCACAGACATGGACTCTGATGTGCTGCCACTCATGGCCCTTAAGTGACAGGATGAAGGGTGTCCCCTTAAGCTTGCTGGCCTAGCAGCATCACCTGACTCCACCATAGCACAGATCAGTCCAAGCCCTAGGAGGCTCTCTCAGGGCACATACCTCAATAGCATCCTTGAACTCATCATCAGGCTCTGCCTCCTCTGCTTCCTCCACACTGCCAGGGGTCAGATCCTATGGGGGAAGCAAACAACGTTACAGCGGGAGGCAGCAATGCTTTTGAATGAAAGTTGCTGGAAACCACAGGAGGGGCAAGTGCTCTTCTGCTCAAATCCTGCTTGCTGACTTCCCACAGTCATCTGGTTGGCCACTGTGAGAACAGGATGCCGGACTAGATGGGCCATTGGCCTGATCCAGGAGGTTGTTCTGATGTTACAAGACTAAGGAAGCAAGGCCCACCAGTCCTTGTAACAGTGGTAAATGAATCCAAGAGGGGTGCTACACAGATGGCCCCATTCCATCCCAGCTACCCCAATGCAAGAGTAACATGGAAGCTATGAGGATGCATTTCCCCTCCTGACTAGACATAGTTATTTATTACCATGGCAGTTTGTAATACACAAGACCCCAAACAATGCTGGTATGCAGATCCTGAAATGCCTTAATGGGCAGCACAAAGGGAAAACACAGGGACAAGCAGTGAAGACTGCCTGAAGAGCTGTGTGAAGGGAGAGAAGGACATCGCCCTTTTACATTTTCATGTAAACTTAGCTAAGTTGTTTAAAAAAGAGACAGGGACAAGCTGGAAACATTACTATACTTTGAAGCACCAAACTGGAGAAAATTAAGCCAGGTACAATTTTTGAGGCTCCACATTTCAACAGTAGGTTACAGGTGCACCTCCCCATAACCAGCTGCAACTAAAAAGTTTGGGAACTCTGAAAAGCAAGAAGGGGACAGAACAAGGATGGCAGCTGCCCTAAAGAGACGTACCTGTGTAGGCAAAATTGAGGCCCTACTTCTCCAGGGCCAAGATTGGGAACAGGGTCTGGGAGGTTTTCATCCATGATGCATAGCATTACCCCTTTCAAAATTTCTCTGCCACTCCCATCGGGACCTTACTTTACACACTATTGCTTGTGGTCCTCCAAGTGTTGTTGGACATCACTGACCAGGCCAGCTGAAGTTGGTGGGGGATCGGAGTCCAACAACATATGGAGGGCCGCAGTTTCCATCGTTCCATATGCTACAGAAGACTGGGAGGTGTGGCGGAGAGATACATGGAACCACAACCAGCAGAAGCAAGATGGAAGTTTGTCTTCTGTGCCTGGGACACATTTCCTAGGACTGTAGATCTGGAATCAACTATGAAGCCACCTGCTAATAAGACTGTTATGCAGGCCAGGATGAACTATGACCTCAGGCATTTCCAAAAGATAAAACAACACTCTCTGGGCACTTTGGATGAGCATATCAATTCTCATTCTACTTGGAAGTGGGCAACACAGACCCGTCTATTCTTCTACCATGCCTTACCTCGGTACTAGTGGGCGTAGGTGTCCGGTCCGGCAGGGATCCAGACCCAACTTCTCCAGCATACAGCTCCACTGGCTCTGGAGTCCCAGCAACAGGCTTGAGGCCCAAACGCTGCTCTACAGCAGACTTCAGCTCCAGCAACACTAGGGAGGGAGAGGAAAAGGGTAATGATTGGACATCCATTAGAAGCTCAGGAAAGTCTTGCAGTAAACAGCACAGGCTTTCAGCACTGGAAGAACAGCATGGCATTCAAGCCTATCTCCAACCCAAACACCCAAGAAGTAGATACTGGCAAACCAGCGACCAATGTCCAATGTAGCTAATAGTATTTAAAACACTAGTATGCCTACCTGAATACCCCATGGTTCTCTAGCACTAATCTCACTCCCAGACAGAACTGTCCATAACCCCGTAGCTCCTCAGTAGACAGGGGGAAAGGCTATCTACCACCCCAGTAAATATTCTCCACCGCAGATTTTCAGCACAAAACTCAGGAGACTGGAGTGTTCCCTGAACCCCCCCCCCAATCTCCCCACCCAGATTTGTGTTGTTTGCGGGTGGGTTGCAACTGTTTGCTGATATTCACAGCCCCCTGGCCACTCCTCCAGCATCCTCACAAAACCTATTGAAAGTGAGGCCAGGAAGCAGTGCCTTCACTCTGAGTGGGCACTGTGAAAAGAGCTGTGCTCTGAATAGGTTCGTGCCTGTTTTCACTCTTCCCTGCCACCATCCCACACAAACAAAATTTCAGAATGAGATGCATTCAGAGGGCAAATGTTCACAACACACACCAAAACTGTTTTCCAGCAAAGGACTGTCTCCCTTGTGATAACCCCCCCGTTTTCTGCAAAAGGCAGTTTATCATTAGCATCCCAAGATCTGCTTCCCCACTGGGACACCTCTAAATCGAAAAAGCTTCCACTACTAAGCTGTGCCCAAGGAACAGAGTGACTACTCAGGTCTCTTGAATGCCAAAGAGCTTGTTTATGGGACTGGGGCAGCACAGAAGAGATGCATTTTTTCCTCTCTCATCAAAATTTGCTAGCAGCTACACACTGTTGCCCTAATTTGGAATAAGATAGGGTAGCAGCAGGGGTGGGTGCAACACAGATCTCTGCCTCACACAGATCTACAGCAAAGAAAGCCTTGACCCTGGGCACCCTGTCTCCAGTCAGCTGCTGCAGCTTACTTCCCCAAGGTTCCCATGGAACAGAATGGTACAGGAGAGAAGAGCAATCTCTTACCTTGATAAAATGCCACATTACCCAAGAAAAGGGCATTATTGAGCAGCACAAAGACCCAACATAAGGGCAGCAGGTAGAGAGCACAAACGGAAGCCATCAGCATTCCATAAAACCTGGGCAAAAAAAGGAGCAGAAGGGGCATGACACACCTGGGCATCAGGATGACAGCCAGGTGCCTTGAGAGCACATCAAGCCTGTCCAGCCCCCCTTCACTCTTGGATATGGAACAGAGAGCATCTGCTGGGAGCCTGAGGGCCCTGTTCCTGCCTCTCTCCACCTGTCCTAGGGCGGGCCTAACAGGCTTCATAAGAGCTGCTGCTGCTGCCCAGAAAGGACTGGGGTATTTTTATGGAAGTTTTGTCTTGAGTTTTTACTGTTATTGATATGAATTCTTTGTATCTTTATTTTTATGTGGATTATGTAGTTATGGTTATGTAGTTACTGATGTGTTTTGTTTATTTTTATTACTCCTTTGCTATGTTTGTAATATGTAAATCTTTTCATATTGTAAGCCGCCTTGAGCATTGTTTTAACTGTGGAAAGGCAGCATACAAATAAGATGATGATGATGATGATGACAACATCACCACCCTTTGCATACCTTTCAAGCAAATAACCTCCCCTCAATCTGGACAAACCTGTTCAGCCAGATGCAGCCAGATAGCTTCCCCATGAACACCAGCCACGATATACCGTATTTTTCGCACCATAGGGCGCACTGGACCATAGGGCGCACCCAGTTTTTAGGAGGGGGGGGAATCAAGAAAAAAATCTTTTCCCCCCCCAGCCCCAAAGAGCAGCGTACAGGCTGCGCACAACCTCTGCCGGAGGGGTTGCGCGCAGCTATGGAGCAAGCCAAGGCAGGGGGCGGGATGGATCCCGTTCACTGTTTTGGCTTCCCCTTTAGCCCCCTGCAGCCTCTCCTTGCCGGGAGAGGCTGCGTGGGGCTAAAGAATCCATAGCCCCCTGCAGCCTCTCCTTGCCGGAGGGGTTGCGCGCAGCTATGGAGCAAGCCAAGGCAGGGGGCGGGATGGATCCTGCTCGCTGTTTTGGCTTCTCCTTTAGCCCCGTGCAGCCTCTCCTTGCCGGGAGACGCTGCGCAGGGCTTTCCTGGCTTTCCTGGGAGGTGGGGGGGATTCTCCCACCTCCCGCAAAACCGGCAGAAGCCGCAAGCACTTTAAAAGGGCTGCACGGCTTCTTCTGGCTTACCTGGGAGGTGGGGGGATTCCCTCACCTCTCGCAAAAGCCCGCAGAAGCCGCGTGTACTTTAAAAGGGCTGCACGGCTTCTTCTGGCTTTTCTGGGAGGTTGGGGGATTCCCTCACCTCTCGCAAAAGCCCGCAGAAGCCGCGCAACCCCTTTAAAGAGATCGCAGCTTCTCCTGGCTTTTCTGGGAGGTGGGAGAAGGGACTGATGCGGCCAGTCAGTCCCTTCTCCCTCCTGTGGAAAAGCCCGCAAGAGCGCACGGAGCTTGTGTGCGGCTCTTGGGGGCTTTTCCCACCTGCCTCCCCCTGCATTCGCTCCATAGGACGCACACACATTTTCCCTTGCTTTTTAGGAGGGAAAAAGTGCGTCCTATGGTGCGAAAAATACGGTATATGGGCATGGACACCTGCCCAATATGAGGTGGAAGGCAGGGACCCCGGATCCCTGTAAAGTGGCTCAGTAAACAAGCCTGCAAACCCCCCAAAGCTGCAAGGCAGCAATGTCCCAGTGACAGGAGCAAGCTGGCAGTAAATAACACCAAACAAGTTGGAGTTAACTCTTTATTAGCAAAAGCAGGATCTGCCTAATGAGCAATGCAACTCATCTCCGGCAGGTCTTGCCCCCATGAAGCAGTTGCTAAGACTGAAGGTCCCCATCTGCTCACAGCTGCCTTAGTTCCCTCCTCTCCAGGGTTTTCCCCAAGCAATCTGAGACTGCACCAGCACAAAACTAACTTCTCCTCCACCCTTTTCATACCTCTTTCTGGGAAACCAGGGGGGAGGGGAGCTTGTCACAGCAGGAGAGTGAGACACCCTGCCACCTTCCCCAGCCAGACTCTCTCTGCCTCTTGGCTTCCCTCCTCTCCTGCTTCAGCTTCTGCCCCTGATTCTGGATGTCTGTCTGTCACAGACTCTCCCAGCTCACTAAGCCCTGTTACCTCTTCAGCTTCCGACACCTCCTCCTCCCTCTGACCACTCATCATCATTATCCTACCACCAATCCCAGGGCTCTGAGCCTCCTTCCCTTGCAGGTTCCCCAGCTAGTTCCTCCCACTATTCCTCTGCATCCAACCTGCCCATGACACCTAGCTCCCATGAAGTATTCCTAAGGCAACACTCACTGTGAAGAAAGAGAAGGGTTCTCCCAGTAGATGATGCGATAGACAGCCTCACATCTGCCACACAGTCGGCTCAAGAGGGCCTCTAATTGGATTAAGCTGGAAAAGGAGATCACAGCAGAGTTAAACATGTTCCTCATGTCCCTCTGCTCACAACCCCACAGCCGCTGCAGCAACCTATGCCCAAGCTGCTTCACAAATGGAGAAAAGTGATCCCCAGCCCCTCATTCAGTTCAAGAGAAGGGTTGGAGTGCAAAAGAAGATTCCCTCATCCACACAGGGCATAATTAGGATGAGCCCTGCATAGAATGAACCTCCTATGCCAGCTAGCTCCAGGCAGGCAAGCTGGATGCAGTAAGCACCTGTGTAAGTTTAGCAAGAGGGATAAAAACCAGCATGATTTGGAGTCCAGCACTCTTGTATGTGGAGTATAGGAGACACTGGGTTCAAATCCACTGCTGAGGCAATCTTGGGCATCTCTTTCCTATAGCTTCAAATCTGAATAATGACAACTAACTTCAGAGTTGCCGCAAAACTAACAGTGCAATCCTAACCACGGCTTGCCTGGACCCTATATACTAAAGGGGAATGTAGTAACATGCTCTTAACTTTTAGATGAAAGAACGCAGACTCCCATAAAGAAAGAGATTTGAGTTCACTGGCTACAACTCAGCGAGTCATATGATGGATGGGTTGGCCATCAGGCTCCAATGCCTTGTGCAAAATGCTGACCAAGTGCCTACTGGCATGGTCAGCTTTGGGTGGGGAAGTAATGGGGAAAAGGAGAACTTGCCCTTGGATTTCAGCTGCTTCTCCCTATCTAAGTTGCAGGTCTCAAAAAATGAGCCGCTTTCTGAATTCACAGCACTCTGATAAAGTGTCATGTCCTGATAAAACATCGATCAGAGCAGTTAACCGTCAGTCCCTGGCATAGGAAAATTCTAATGTCTTCTAAAATTTGACTTGCAAATCCTTGTCTGTACAGACACGCTGAAGTAAAACAATATGTTAATAAAAAAACCTATTTTTAAAAATAATAGTAATCAAAATCCATTATTTCTTAAACAAAAGGATGCACCAGTAGTGTGTCTTCCTCATAAGTAGGTAATAAATGTAGTAAATCTGAAGTAACAGTTGCATTTAGTTGTGAATCAATATGTTTTAATAGCTCTATCGAGCAGCAAAAACACCCATTTCTTGGGGAAAATAACTGTACAAATGGAAAAGTTGATTAAAATCAATGATTTAAAAATGAGGCTTCTTGCCTGGTGATTGAAATCGATCCACTGTCCTGGAAGGAGGATGCATACTTTGCGGCATGGGCAGGAGAGTCATGTAAATGCTTAGTAACTCTTTCTCCTGGAGACACACTCCCAGCTAGCAAGGGTGTGCAATGCCCCCAAAGGGTGAATGGCAGTAGTGCAGTAAGGCACCTTGGAAGGTAGCTAATCTAGAGGAGGAGTCAGCACTGCTCTCCCAGAGTTTCTTAAAAGTGGGGTCACCATTATCTTCCACACGCACAACATTACTGTGCAATTATATTTCCCACAGTCATGACACAATTCTTGCCCAACAGCAATGATGAAATGGGTAGCACCTGCAATATCATATGGACTATCCTTAAATATAGTCCCAACCTTCCCCCTCAACCACTAAGATTTGACACAAATGCCTATGTTACTGGCCAACTGTGTAATGCATTTGTTAGAATGCTGTGGGCGGAATCTGTGATAGGGTCCATTTGGGAAGACACTGTCTGCCCACCCCCCAAAAAGCCTCCATGACACACACACTGGCCTGTGCTAGTGCCTGTGCAGCTGTTTACTTAAACATTAAAAGATCAACTCTGTGCAGTTGTGCACAGTTCTTCAGCTGCACAAGTGCATGGTTGAAGAAGAAGCAGAAGAAGAAATGGATTATTGTGCCCTACTGGGCACAGCTTCAGAGATATGTAGTTGTGCACCTGAAATATCCTTGTGTAAAAACAACAACACACAAATGATTGGGAGAAATAAAAACTCAAAAGGAAAAATCAGCTGGTAAAAAATAGATGAAAAAGTCATTGTAAGTGAAGAGGCTGAAATCATAGAAGACAAAAGAAGGGGAATGGTGGAATACCACACAAATTGTGACACAGAAGGGTCACTAAATTAGTTCTGCAGGCTAAATTGCTCCCACTATTCAGGGTAACAATTGCACATTACTTATCTACAATGGAAATATCCACACAAAATACAGAAAAATGGCTACAAAAATCAAACAAGAGAAAAACACAATGAAGAGGTAGAAATCTCGATCTTGCAACGGGTTGACTATTAAGCCCAGTGGATTCAGAACAACTGCAATATTCACCATCAAGAAAATAATGTGTAGTGTGAACAAGAAACCCAAGCAGCATCCCTCCAATCACATACTTCAAAGGGATCCACCTACGGGTCAACACATTTTCTCCATCCTTCCCTAAGAGCACTTACAAGCCCTTCACTTCAGCCACAGCCTCATGTCGTGCAAGCTGAACTTTCCTCACATCTTCACGCCGCACACTGTGGTACCTACGACGTGCCAGCTCTTCTTCACTCAGACGGATGCGGCATGTCTCCTGCAGGTAGCCCAGCAAGGCTGGCACTGAGACCAGTAGGACGCAAAGCCCATACCACGCAGCTGCAATGAAAGGTGGAATAGATGCAGAGATCATTTTACCACCCCACTGTTTGGCCAGTCACAACACACCTGTACCACTATCACCTATAGCTCAGTGGTAGAGCATTTGCTTTGAACAGAGAAGTTCCCAGTTTCAATCCCTGGTATCTCCAGGTAGGACGGGGAATGTCTTCTTTCTCAACACCTGGAAAATTGCTGCCAGTCACTTTCAACAACGAGCTTGACATACCAATGGTCTGACTTGATATAAGGCAGCTTCCTATGTACTACCCCATAAACCACCTGAAAGGAGGCCCATCTGCCTGCCAGTCACTCCATTTCCTTACTACCTCTCACAGTTGGTACTGCTAGCCCTCATAATCTGCCCCCAATAACACACTCCATTTCCCACAGGATCAATCCCCCCAAGGCTCACATCATACCTGAAAGGAGGCCTATTGGGTCCCCAGCACAAAGGTCCAACATTTCTCACCTTCACTAAGAGTTAGCAGCAGAAAGTTGAGGCCCAGGCAAGTAAGGAGGGAGCAGAGAGGCATCTGCCAGCTGTGAAACATACATGATAAAGCATTTATTGCCACTCCAAAAGGATATTTAGCTGTACAAATGAGCTATGAACATGAGAATGGTGGCGATGGAAAGGGCAAGCCTAAGTTTAAGTCTCAGGTCATGGAGTACATTAACTTACCTTGAGCACTGAAAAAACGGTATATACCGTAAATAAGAAATCAAATTAGATTGAATGAAGACAAAAGCAAGGTAAGGGTAGGGTATTTTTTAAAATGGGGGAATGTTGCAATCAGCCATAGACACTAGCCAAGTCACAAATGCAGCAGCATATCTTCTTTAAGCCCAACTGCACACAGTGTTTCCCATGCTGAATACTTGGTATCTCTTAGATCAAGTAAAATTAAGTATTTGGCCAGGAGGACTCATCTTCTCTCTTTTTTCTCCCACTTGCAAAAGTGAGACTTCCAAAGAGCCTGTGTTTTTCTGCCCTCCAACATGGCAGGAGACAACAAATATTTTTTTCTCTAGCTCCACCACAACCATCACCCACAAGGTGCAACTAAGTAGTTGGGCACCAACCTGAGGAGGAACCACACCCCTTCCGCAATATCCTGCAGTGGTTCCAAGTACAGCTCCAGTCGCTTGTAGGATACTACTAGATTGAAGAGATCCAAGGAAGGGGGCTTGGATGGCAAAGGAGAAACTGGTTGGGAATCGGAAGCCGTGGGGCTGTCCAGTCCATTCCCTGTGGTCGCTCCACTCTCACGCTCTGGAACCTGCATACTGTAGATGTGAAAGTCGAGAGGAATACCAAAAAATGAACAATAAAAATAGTCAACTCTTCCCCACCCCTAGTGTGAAGGAAACAACAGAGATGACCTTTGGGAAGGGCAGTGCCCACATCCCCCCATGCAAAGGAACTGCATTCACTATGACTGGGCAAGTCATGAGAAACAGAGATACCTACAACAGGTGTCACTTTTGCCCCATTGAGGCCCCAGAACCTGCATGAAAGGGAGAGTCAACACACAAATTGTCCCAAGAGCTGCAGAGCCATGGGAAAGCTCCTCAAAAGCATCTCCTCCTTTTGCAAACAACAACGACTGCAGCCACCTGGGAGTCAGGGTGGGGAAACATCCCCTGTAACCCTATGCCATATATACCAAAAGGCATGCAGACTGTGCTAATTAATCTGGCCTAATAATTTATTTTATACACCCACAATTGCAAGCACATATTAAAACATATAACCATAAACATGCATCAAAAGCACAGAGGGAATCCATTCTTGTAATCCTCTTTAGCTACTCTGGCAGGGTAGGTCCAGGGTGACAAGGAACAAGCAGCCCACTTTAAGTGCTACTCAGAATACAGCATCCAAGAATGTGGGGTGCATCTGAGACACAAGATTCAGGTGGAGAGAGGAATGACCAGATCATATTCTGCAACTTATTTGATATTGGCAATGTCACTACCTGGGTCACTCCGGGTGAATCAAAAGGGGGAAAAACAAGATAGCATGGGATGCTCCGGCCTGCTAGCTCAGTACTTGGGATGCAGGCAAAATGTCTTCCTCCAGACAAGGAGGTTAAAATGACCAGCTTCTTCTCTCTTCCCCCGAGGGGCTCCTGCGCCATGGCAGGCAGAAATCCAGCAGGTGAAGCGCTCTCTATCAGATCCTCCCAGCGTAGGGTAAGCTTCATCTGCTGCACCTCCGCACATCGCGGCGCAGCAGCCCCTTCCCGGAAAAGAAAAGAAAAACGGGAATTCAGCCTTTGACGAGCTGGACCCCGGAGGCTCCGGCGGAACAAGCGCTCCGCTTGCGGGGCAGCCACAGAGCTCCGCCGGAGGAGGAGGAGGCGCCGCCGGCTCGTCCCACCTACCTCTACACAAGCGGCCCACAAGCCCTACGGCCCCAAATAGGGCGAAAGGGCGGAGCCTCCCCTTCCACGTCCAACCTCGACCTCACCCGTCTGGCCAACACCGCTGCGGCCGCCGACACTTCCTGGGCAGAAGGACCCGGCTGTGCCTCAGCTCCGCTGCGCAGCTCACGCTTCAGGGAAGCGGCGGCCTAATCCGCCCACCTGAGGCAGCCGGCCAATCAGAAGCGCGGGAAGCGGCCGCCGCCGCGCGCGTCCTCTGCTGGAAAAGCTGCAGCTCCTATTGGACAAGAGCCTCCCGCCGCCAGCCTATGGGAGCCTTCGTACTTCTTATTCGCCGCGGGCCGCTTTTTATAGGCTCTGTGATTCGTCCCTTCCTCGTCTCTGAACCGCTTTTTCCGCCAGTCGTTCTGCCCACACTGGCTGGCAGTGGCTTTCTAGGATTTGAGTCAGGGAGCTTTTCCCAGCCCCACCTTGAGATGCCAGGGATTGAACCTGGGACTTTTTGCATGCTCTGAGCTACGGCCTTTCTGTAATTTGACCTGCCTTGGATGCTATGCACTTTGACCTGGGTGTGGGGATCAACTGCTGTTCCACCTCAGACAGCAAAATGTCTTGGGCTGACCTGAATCTTCCCAGAGGAACTCGCTGAAGTCCAGAAACTAGCACTAACCGGCCCTGAAGTCTCAAAAGAGCTTCAGTAGCTCATAATATTCACTGAAAGTTATGGTATCCCAGCGAGCCTATGGCATGGCTTTGTACATGCTCCTGGGAAATGGCGCAGTGACAGGGTGAGGGTGTGATTTTGTGATCAGACTTGTGGGGCACAAAGCAGGCTTCCGTGGTCCAAGACATGGCCATAGCCAGGATTTATGTTAGGGAGGGAAGGCTTTATGGTAGGGGAGGCAGGACCTCAGTTAAGTATTTTTATTGATTTATTTGATTTAGGGGGGCGGCTGTTCCGCCCCAGCTATGCTCATGGTCCAAGGGGAGATTCAAGGAGGGAGGAACTGCAAATTCAAGTATGAAGCTAAAAGCAAAGATCTGCACCAGCAAAAGAATAAGGTAAAGGTAAAGGTACCCCTGCCCATACGGGCCAGTCTTGCCAGACTCTAGGGTTGTGCGCCCATCTCACTTAAGAGGCCGGGGGGCAGCGCTGTCCGGAGACACTTCCGGGTCACGTGGCCAGCGTGACATCGCTGCTCTGGCGAGCCAGAGCCGCACACGGAAACGCCGTTTACCTTCCCGCTAGTAAGCGGTCCCTATTTATCTACTTGCACCCGGGAGTGCTTTCGAACTGCTAGGTTGGCAGGCGCTGGGACCAAGCAACGGGAGCGCACCCCGCCGCGGGGATTCGAACCGCCGACCTTTCGATCGGCAAGCCCTAGGCGCTGAGGCTTTTACCCACAGCGCCACCCGCGTCCCCAAGGATTTGATATCCCGCTTTATCACTACCTGAAGGAGTCTCAAAGTGGCTAACATTCTCCTTTCCCTTCCTCCCCCACAACAAACACTCTGTGAGGTGAGTGAGGCTGAGAGACTTCAGAGAAGTGTGACTGGCCCAAGGTCACCCAGCAGCTGCATGTGGAGGAGTGGAGACGTGAACCCAGTTCACCAGATTACGAGTCTACCGCTCTTAACCACTACACCACACTGGCTCTCAAAAGAATGGGAATGGATTAAACACTTGTAAAATTGGGTAGCCTCAAGCCAGCTATCAAGGACCTGCAGGAGACAGTACCATACACCAAAAAGAAACCTGAATAATTCTCTGCATAAAGCTGCTGCTAAAATACTTTGACAATACATCCCATCCATTCTTTTTTGTCAAGTGAAATAAGTGGTCTACCTTGAATAAAAACTAATGCAACATATTTCTGGAGTCCTATGAAGTTTCATTCAGGCAAATTCTTCAGACTGCTTATTACTCTTTACCTTCTAATTGCATATGTACACAAATTCTATAAAGTTGCATATAATGGTCCCATTCATACATTATGCTTTAGGTGCAAAACGGGGACAAAAGGAACTCAAATTAATGTTCATTCTCAACTGCAATTTCACTCAAAACCCACAAGGTGGCTGTCCAGATCCGATAACTGATCTCTGCTAAGATGACAACAACAGGAATAGGCAGCTGCTCACACCTCAGTGGGATTCTGCTTCTGCAAAAATAACCTATCTACAACTTTGAGCTGAGAGCATCTGAATCTACATAAGAATACACTGCCTCCCTCAAGTTATTTCTTTACAATGCGCTCTCTCTCACACACACACTCACACACTAATGCCAGTCTGCTACTGCTTTCTCCCCACAGTGCTTTTCGGTTTTGTATTCACTGTGTGCATTTATCCAGCATGGCTCTACTATTAAACTAGAGGCAGACATTTATGAGCATGTGTTACTGCATGATTACATTGCACAAGTACAGAAGAGGCTTTGACTGTAGAATTTAGCATCTTGAGGAGCACAATGGCCATTGTAAAAAGGACGTTTCAGACTTGAAATTCACAAAGTAGGCTTGAAAACAAGTCTGGTGAAATCTCAGAAAGATTTCCAGTGGTTTGGGGTGGGGCTTCGCAGGCTTCCTCCTACCACTAGAAGAGAAGCAAAATATGCCTGAAAGCTCGTTTCACTTTTTTGTGTAGAACCTAGGAACTACTGTTCTTTGAGGGAACTGGTTTTAAGCACTTTACATTTGCAGTATATGTTTTGTCACAGTTGAACTAAAGTGCTGCATGGCTAAGGAGTGTTATTGCTCTGAAGCAAACTTGTTGCTTTGTATGGAAAATGTTCTTGCTGTCTAGCAACAGGAACTGATCAGCACAGTCACAAGTTTTGAAGTGCTTGGAAAAGGAGTTGGATCTGGGATTTAGCCAGTTGGCACTTCCCGTAGGTAGGTAGGTAGGTAGGTAGGTAGGAGGCAGCTCTTGGGAGAACAAGCTTGGTGTATAATGGGTGTCAGAATCAGGGATTGGATTGTCAGCTTACCTTGTAACGTAGCCAGTTTTCAATACCAGTGGGTGTGTTTACCATCAGAAGGGCATCACACTAACGCTGCCAGGTTTGGTAGATTAGTTAGCTTAACTTATAAAAATGCAGTAATCAGTTAAAATGTGCCCCTGATTAATTGGGTAGCAATTTTTTAAATGAAAGAAATAAACTCATTGTGGTTATTTGTACTAATGTTACATATAATACCAGGGGTGGCATGCACTATCTTAGAAGATGCAATAAAACGTAAAACTAAACAATAAAAACCATTTTAACAAGTTAACAAGAGACAAAAGTTAACCTTTGTTGAAAGGTGTATTATTAATTGCCTGCATAGGGCTGGCAGAATAATAAAAAATTCAGCATGCATTTAAAAGTTGGCACTTAAAAGTTGAGATACTTCATCCAGGGTTTGAACTTACACATGAGAAACCCATGTTGTTTGGGAGTCGGGCTATGGTTCCCAAACAAAACACCATGAGTCCGGGCTTCTCCTCCTCCAACTATGCTATCCACAGTGTTCTGATGATTCTCTAGGTGGGAGCAATTTGCTGTCTGTGAGACTGAAATCCCTTTTCCTGGGGCGCCTGTGGGTTCTCAATGCATGCTTCCTACTGAATTGACCAGGGAACTGGCTGACTGTTGGGATCGGAATGTCAGCCTTTCCATGTCTGGGCCTGTCTGTTGCTAGCAAAAGACGGGTTACTGTGAGTAGGTTGCAAATTGCTCTCGGGGGGGGGGGGAGTCTGAAGCTTGTGGCTTTATGTATTCGACTCTACACTCCTCTTCATTGTGCTACAGTACCTGATGAGGTAGCAGAGACCTAGTGCTATCTCTATGGACGACTAAGGTGTTGTATAAGTAGTGGGAGTGTACAATGATTAGGGCAATGCCACGAATTGTTCTGCCATTGCATTGACATGTGTTGATTGGTGCCTTCCATGTGTGCGTAATGTGAGACATTGATGTACAATAACCTCAGTTGCTGTTGCTGTGCTACCTTTGGTTTCTGTTTTGTGTTACTCTTTGTGTTACTGTTTTGTTTTCTGCTTTGCTACTGGGAGTATAGAGGATTGTGGATACAACTTTAGTAGCTGCCAATTGAGTGATTTCTTTAATAAGGCTGTTATCCTGACTGCAACCTCTTGTTCCAGTATTCACAGAATTTTATTCAGAGAATGACTTTGACTCCAGAAACCTGATCTCTAAGGCTCTCTAAAGCAAAAACAATTGTAGACACCGCTCCAAAAATTGATCCAATAAACAGCCAACACCTTTCCTGCCTTATACTCCTTCACCTCTCAGCGTTTCCCTCTATCTACACCGAAAAGGGATGCAATGACCTCTTGAGTATCAAACAGCTGAGGGAGATACAGTGCCCTGTATTTAGGACTACTCATTCTCTGTCTGTTTTGACTCTTAGGCTGCCCTGCTTCTCTATTCTCAAATCCAAAAATTCCCCATTCTTCTTTAAACTGGCTGGCAGGTCATCAGAAGAGTCATTATGGGTCTGTGGATTCCTGGAAGGGCCAGGATTCAGACCTCATATTGGCTCATAACCAGCTCGTGCTTGTTTTGAGATGATGAGGGGTCTTACATCATGGACTTCTGCCGCTGCAGCAGCATAGGCAGGTGTGACTCAGAGAACTCCCTATATAGAGCACCTTTTGCCAGACATGATGGTTGACTGTGAAGTGGATAGATAATCCAAACCAGGGCTGCTGTTCCATTATCTGCTTGTCCAGTCTCATATCCCAATATAGCAACTGGAGCATGGAACCAAATAATGCCTCAATGTGGCTCCAGTAAGCTGTTCCTCTCTGTGACGGACAGCAGAGCCAGACCAGAATCTGGTGATGCAGTCCCTCGGAAATTCCACCAGAGTGCTGGAGCCTCTGCTGATTGACTACAAAGTCAGCTAGCCACAGAGGGGAGAGGAGCAGCACTTTGGAGGGAGAATAAAAGGAGCAGTTTCTGAGGGAGAGAGTTAGACAGGGCTTGATTTGAGATGAGAGATAAGGCTTGATTTGAGTTGAGAGATAGGGTTCAGATTGAATGGGAGATAGGGAGTGAGATAGGGATTCCAAACTTCCACCTACTTAAAATAAATCATTTCAAGAGTAATGAATGCCCTGCATTTGTAGGAAACCACATACTTTATCAACCCTTTAGATCAAGGCTGGAGAATCTGTGGCTGTTGCTGAACTACCAAGCTATCAACCCTGACCATCAGCCATACTTTGGCTGGCACTGATGGGACACAAGTCCAACAACATCTGTCCACACATCCCTGCTTTAGATACATAGAATAACCTTCCATTCATGACTGGCTAGCAGCCAGGGCCCTGGTACTGTACCTATAACTTACATACAGTATTATGTGACCGTTTCATATTCAAAAGGTCCCTGACGTCATCTTGATAGATGACGATAGCACAGCATCAATGGAATAATTGCCCTTTGCTTGCTTAAAATGGAGTAACAGAGATAAGAAAATCAATATCTCTGAGTAAATTAGTAGCAAGAGAGTTGTGAAATACACTGCAGCACATCTCCAGGTTTGCTCTGATGGCTTTCTTAAAACACACACACACATAGCTAGGTTGGTGACAATGAAATTGGTATCTTGTGGTGCCTGGAACACACAGTCAAAGGGCAGGGCATGTGATAGGTGTAAGGTTGAGTGAACAAGGATCAGCAGTGAGAAGTAAAAAGGGTCTGGCCCAGGAGAAAAACCTACAACCTTCAAATCCAGAGAGAGAGAATAGGAAAAGGGGGAAGATACAGGGGATCTTTTCTATTCTGATGCTGCAGGGAGCCATAAAATAGGTGATGGATATCACAGTTATGCTTTGTTTATGAATGTCCCTATGGTATTCATTAGCCACTTTTGTCAGATTGAATGCTGAGCTAGATAAAGCATTGGTCTCACTATTTTGGAGAAAAATACACACCATAAATTTAGGTTTGTGTAATTAAAGGGACCTGGCACAACAAATTCACTTTAAAAAAACAAAACTTCTATGGCTAGGAAAGCAACAGGAAAATGCATTAAAAAGTGTGAGATGATGACTGATGAGAATACATATATGGTGTTATTTAAGTTTTACTCAGAGTAGACCCAATAAAATTAATGAACATGGAAAAGTAGGTCCATTAATTCCAATGGGTCTACTCCGCATAAAACTTCATTGAATACCACACATAATTTCCATGCAACCAAAACAGATAGGATGCTCATTGTCGTGACCTTCCTACAAACAAATTTGGAAATGTATAACCTCTGTGTAATCTCTGTGCAAGCAAATAAATGTTCAGTAAATACCCTTGGCAAAGTACAATAATGAAGATGAAAACAGCTGGGGAGCAAGGTTTTTATTACATGTAGAAGAGAAGGAAGAAAGTTAGGAATGTTCAGAGTTTGGAATCCAATGGTTTTTTGGAAACTCCCGCAGTCCACTCTGAGATATGATTTCTTAAGCATGGTTGAAGTGGGCTTCCTCATTTGGTGTTGCTGGAATAGGGTCCATTTATCACAGGGAAAAGAGGCTCCAACAAGAATGATCCTATTCCTACCATTTGAAAAAAGGTAGGGATATATAGGCACATTAGATGTAGCATCTTAGCAAAAGATAGCTGTGGTAGCTGCTCTGGGAGTTTAGCACAATTAGACAAACAGTAGAAGTCAAAGGGGTGCAGGGGTCTCTTATGCAAGGCACTTCTATATTTCAGAGACAGAAATCCAGTGGTGGTGAAATCCAATGTGTGACAATCCGTGAGCGTGATGAAGCCTTCAGTTTACATGGTAACAACTGGGGGTTGATCCTAGTTCCAAGGTTTGTATGGTTAGTGCTGTCACATTCTTATATTTCATGTAAAGTCATGAGATATGCGGGAGTAGTACCCGACAGCACTGGATCCTGTTTCCCTGTAAGTCACGGGGAATTCGGGCACTCTGCACCCTGACCCTGTTAGAAGTCTTCCATGTGACGTAACTGTTTCTCTTCACAGTTGCCATAGGAATATTTTCCTCCCCTTTTCCGGCCCAGAGCCAGCTTTTGCAGTAATTACATTTCCTCCACTGTCGACCATTCAGCTGCAGTGCCTGTCTGCAAATTTTTACCCTGGGGTTCTCTTTCAATTCTTTCTCCCATCCAGGGTAGGATTTATCTTGATGTTTCATGCAGAATAAAATATGCCTCCTTCTCTGGAATATGATGGGAACAGGAGAATACAGACCCTGCCATAAAAGGGGCTAAGAACAGTCTGGAATCCGGTAGCTCTCTCTCTCACACACACACTATTAGTATTCTTCAGTAGGAACCTGAATTTGGGTATCTTTAGGAAGTCTTTGCAGATCACAGAACTAATATCCAACTACTTGCCTCCTAAAGATACCAAATATCAAGGTTTGGCCCCAACCTCATATAGAGCCACACTGGGTAGATTCACATCTATGATCCACCTGGATTCCAATCCTGGCCTCAGATGATGACCAGCACCTCACTCCAATTTCTGTGAGAGGGCCCTGCTCTCTGGCCTCTTTTGTTCCATCACTACATAACCTGTTGCAGAACTCTCCAATGTTTCCTATTATTTATGACCAATTGGCTTGTGGGGTGGCTTCCTCAAATACGAGGCAATATTTCAAGGAAGTGAAGCATTAATTAATTCAGGAAGTTACAAGAGTGACATTTATGGGCACAGTGTGTGTAATTTGAGCTAGGGATTGCCAGGGCTCAGAAATGGACTCATGAGCTCAGCTTTGGATCCCATTGTTGGTGCAGGATTTAGCTTACATATCTAATAGTAAGAACAAAGAAACTTCATCTGAGCAAAAGCAAGGAGAATGTGCCTCTTGCTTTAATCAGCAAAGCCAATGCCCCACATTTAGGAAATACAGGTTAGGGAGTGCAAATATCCAAAAGACATGAGCCTCAACACATCCATTTTTAAAAAGTAAAAACTGGTTACTGGAGTTATGCTATGCTATAAATGTCACAATGTCCACATCAGGGTCATATCTAAAATAAAAAAGTTACTAAGAACCATCATTTATAAATATCTGATTAAAAACAGAATGCTATGGAGGAAGAAAAGAATGTAATGGAAGCTTTTGGGGGTGGTTCCTAAGCTTATGCTTATATAACTTCTGAAATGGGATAATAATAATATACCAACAGAGCACCCTAAAGGGTGGATATTCAGTATTACTAAACATTAATTAAATGTGAGAGGATGAGATCTTATGTATATGGCATAAAAACATATGGACAAACACTACAAACTAAATTAAATCTGCTCCTATAAGGATTATGAATAACACTGAATGATCAAGGGCTTCCAGGGCACCTTATGTCAACCACATATTCTGGAATCATAGACCAGGCCAAACCTTTCTAGACCCACAGAGACCCACCTGCCAAGGGAAGGAAGAAAAGAAACGGGGAAACCCACAATCTGGCTCCCACGTTTAATCTGAAGGATACACCATTTCTAGCTTCTGGGTCATGAAAGCATGCATCCATCCGTTGATGAAGGGTATAGAGCATCCATCAGTACCATGGACATAGGGGATTACTCCCCCTCTCCCAATAAAGTCTATTGAAGTTTTTTCTCTCCATCAGGAAGGCAACGATGAATCTGGAACAAGGAGCAGTCTGTGGGGACTGTATGTGTACAAGGCTTGTCCGTCTGGTTGAAGAAGGGTCTGTCCATCCCTGCCCATCAGCCTACCTTCTTGCATCTCTCAGATATCCTTGTGCCCCTGGAAATGTCGTACCAGGCAGTAGAGTCCTGAAATTAGGTAAAAGAAGGCAGTAATACCTGCAAAGACGGCAGCAGTCAGGTAGGCTTTGTAACTGCAGGGCCAGGTGTAGCCTGGCAGGCTGCAATAGGTGAAACTCTGTGTCTTCTGGATCAGGATGCCTGTAGCAGCTGCAGAAAGAATAACCCCAAGCAACAGATCATGCATTAGGTTCGTCATAAGCCAGCGGGTTCCCAGCACCGGCACCAGAGACCAGCGGCCCAGCAGGCTGAGCCCAAAGAGCGCCAAGGTGAGCAACCACAGTAGGACCGCTGCAAAGACCGCAAAGTAGGTGGCTCCTTCATACTTGTGCGCTGCTAAAGTCACCCAGCAGACAGCCCCCGTCAGCAGCTGGGCAATGCGCAGCACTCCCAGCAGACTTCTCAAGAAGGGCCTGTTCAGACTCAGAGTCTCTCTCGACTGCGGGCAAGGCGGTGGAGGGGAGGACGGAGGTGGTGGAAGAGCCATGCTGCAAGACTGCGGCCTCCAGGCGCTTCTGTCCCGTCCAGTTCTGCCTTCTGGAGCCCAGCGAACTTCACCCCCCTCTCAGGCACTTCCTCTGTCTGCAGCTGCTAAACATCTGCAGCTCAATGGACTTTCCTGTGCAGGGGCCTCTCAGCTTCCCGGCTCTGTCCCTCCCTGTTCCCCCTTGCCCCTCCTCTTCTCTGGGTGGTTCTCTTTCTCCATCCTTCTGCTAACTCCTCACTCCTCTCTCCTTCACGCCCCTGCAGTCCCAAGCTGAGAGCTCTCAAAACACCCATTAAAGCTGGCTGCTTTAGCATCACAGTTTCCTCAGCTACACACTATGTACTGCTTCAGCCAACAGTTCTTCCTAAGCAGAAAGGTTGCCTCAGCATGTGGGCCCTGCAGGCACAGAGTTTTGCCTCTCCCTTGCAGGAGATGGGTTTGGGCACATTGGCTGCATAGGCACCATGCATTTAAAGCACACCATACATTTAAAGCACATTTCCGTCCCCATCCCCCCATAAGGTGATTGGGAACTATAGTTTGTCCTCACAGAGCTACAATTCTCAGGATCCTTACTTCCCAGTCTCAGCCAGTTCCCAGGATTCAGAAGGGGGTAAAGTGCTTGAAGTGTATGGCACATACACAGCCTCAAAACTCTGCATTGTATTGACTCTCCTAGTAGCCCAGATCCTGGCCAGCACCACTAGATGGTGCAAACAAACTCCAGCCTGCTCTTATCTTGGATGTCAGAACTCAGGTCAGTTTTCTTTCTATGTTCTAAAGAGGCAGATGAGACTAGGGGAAAAAACCAGTTGTATTTCTTTCCACACTTCTGATTTAACTTGTGAATATAAAAATAAAAAACTGAGGAGGCTTTAAATGGATAAGCTGTTTCCTTATCTGGTGCCTGTGTCTGTAAACTTCACTCTCTGTCTTTAGAGACATGGCTTTATTTTAAAACTGCTGTGAGCTGCCCAGAGGACAGGATGAATAGGTGACCAAGATATGTCGTACGTGAATGAATCAATAAGTCAAGACCTCCTAAACAGGTTCAAACCAGCTTGTCCTCTAGCAGGGTTGAATGTTCCAAAAGGAAGGTTGTCAACTCACATATAAAGGATCCATTATTTAAATCACTCTAATTTTGATCTTAGTGGGTCTCTTGACTTTCATATGATGCTGCAGGCAATGATTTCTGTGTGACACGCAGGATTTTAAGTTTCACGGCACCACTTCTCACATGGTATTCTCCAGGAAAAAGTTTACATTGCACTCAGTTATTTGTTTTTTAAAAAATTCATTTAAATATGTCTTTTTCCACTATTGCACATTTGGAAGCTCTTGCTTGTGCTGACGCATTTTTCAGCTTGGAACTACAGCAAGATACACACTTGTGCAATTTTCCCATGTGACATTGTATCCTGAGTGGATGCGACTGTCCCTGGAAACGGGTGCAGAGGTCTAAATGAAAATAGGGCATTCATTTAACCCTGATCCCTTTTTTCTCTATGGCAAGTTTGCAAAATTACATCTCATTGTGCGTCTTCTTGGGGATCAAAGGGCAAGTCAAATCTCATGGCATCTTTCTACATACTTCCCAGGGAACACGGCGGCAAAAATTCATGCCTGAGGGTTCTGGCTTCCTGGCACGCGGCAGGAGCTGGCTGGGGAGCTTGAGCCTTCCCTCCACGTCGACCCTTAGCACGTGTCTGGCTGCGACTACTTTGCGTGGCTCAGTAGAGCGGAATAGGCACGTTCCCGGGCGTAGCTGGGGGGGGGGGCAGGGAGGAGCAGCTCCCCCCCAATCAATAAAAATACCTAGCTAACTTAGGTTCTACCCCACCCCCAACAAAAATCCTGGCTACACCCATGGGCACGCTCCAAACCCTTTCTCGCCTGCTGCTGCCTTGCCAGGCAGGCCCGTAATTGCCCTGACAGGCAAAGGCGAGCAGGTTGCCGAAGTGGTCCAAGAAGCCAAACGTTACGGGGTCAGGCTAGCGATCCTTTCCAGCAGCAATTCCTATTTTTCAGGTTGCTGTCAGGGAGGCCGATCGTGCTTCGCTCCCCTGCGGACCTCCACTCCCTGATCTGCCAGAACCAGATACTCCGTCCTGACCCTTTATTTGCAAAGAGAGAATTCGGCGCGAGCCACTGAAGGAAAACAAGCAGAAAATAAAGTGGGGCTGGGGAGAGGATAGGATGAAGATTAAGCCTCCACGCCGGTGACATGGCACGATCGGGTTTCTCAGAGGGCCAATTAACTCTTTGCTGGAATAGGAAAGGCAGACGCCTCTATGCCTGTGGACAAAACACACAAACACACCCCGCCGTCCCTGTCAGTCAACCACAGCAGGAAAAAGCAACGCCCCTCTTTCTCCTTGCAGGCTAACGCCCTTCCCAGTGACGTCAAGAAGCCGCCTGCCACGCGTTACCAGCGGGGACAGCGGAGCCCCGCCTCCCCCCACCCGATTGGCTGCCTTGGTTATCTTCTGAGTTCGGATTTAGAACCTTGGAGTTAAGAGGCAGATGAAGCCGATTGGCTGAGATGCAGGTTGCCTGCGCTCTTCAATGGACAAAGGAATCTTCGCCGCGTGAGCCTGCGAATGACGGGAATCGGCTTGGGGAGAGGCAAGGCGAGAGCAGGGGAACCGCCCGCCCTGGCGGGTCTCCAGGAGCCTTCGAGAGACCCGTGGCCTCAAGGACGACAGCAGCCGCCAGGTCTGTGACTTACCTGTCCGAGGAGCCCGAATCCACTCAGGTCTGGGCACCGGCCTCGATCTGTTGCTGTAAAATGCCAGATTCCCCCGAGTGGGGGAAGGGACGTGGTTCCTCGCTCGGCTGGAGAGGGAACAATCCTTGCCAGTATCTCGGGCAGCACAAACCAGAATAATTTTTTGCTGGGCTCCTTTTTGTTCCCTTGACATCATGCTTTTGCTCGAAGAAGTTCAGAACGACTCCGTGGGGAAGGTTAGATGGACAGTGTAACTTGCCCTAGATCTCCCAGGGTTCCGCGTGAATTATTATTTGGGCATAATAATACTGTAATGCAAACGAGCTGAGGGGTGCATACTTGGGAGTTATCCTCCCAACATCCCGGTAAGGTAGCATAGGCTGAGACCCTGGCCCGTTGTCACACAGTTATCTCTTTGCTGAGCACGGAGATTCAATTTTGCGTCTCCCCGTGGTTCAAGTCAACATCAGCTCTCTCTTTCCATCCAGTCCCAATATCGGTTCCTGCACAGCAACCGGGCTGAGGGACAAATATGCATGCTGCGTATGTATAATGCCATTTTCGGAGCGATATAAAAGTGCACCCTTAGCTCCCGGGAACTGACGTATTGGCTCGTCTCTTCGGCTCCCGCGTGCCCATCTCATGGCTTGAACACCATGATTCATTGGGATCATCTGGCAAGCTGGCAAGCGAGGCTCCAGCTGTGAGGAGTGGACACTGCCGGGTTAGCTTGCATCGTCTAAGCTTTCCAGAGTTAACCTGTAGCTCATATTTGGGCATGTGGGTCATCAGGCTCTCTTTGGGAATTAACTGCTGTCCCTAGGCTTTCTCTACCATAAGAGACATCAAGGCATGGGAGGCTGCTGGGAAAAGACAAATGCCAGCCCTTCTGCTTGAGTGCAAGAATGTGAGCTGTTGCCCCATATGGCCCCACCCTGGCACTCGTCCCAGTCGGTGCATGCAAACCGGCTTAGCCTGGAGCTGTTTTCTGGTATGTAGCTCCTCCCAACTTGAGCACACCTGTACTGAGCAAGCAGAGGCCTGGCTTAATAGTCTGCTGCCAGAGAATTAAACCACCATCTGGATGGTGTTGGGGGAGCTCAGAGGCTTGCTTAGAAAAATGGAAGTGCTCTCTTTCTGATGGCCTACACATCCCCCAAGGGCCAGGAGTCAGCTGCAGAATAGGAATCCCAATTCCTTCAGTGGGGAAGGAACCAGTTTTGTTCTGTAGGAGGTGGCGGCAGATAAGTTGGGTTGGCAAAAAGGATGGATACCTTGAGGCATGGCTGTGGAAAGGTTGTGTCTAGGCAGGCATAGGTGCTAGGCTGGCATAGGTGAAGTTGAGGGTGGCAGGGGAATAGCAGTGGCTGGCAGGATTAGTCATTCTGCTGTTTTACCCTGTTTCCTCTCTCTTTCACAGAACCACCTTCAGCTACAGAGTGGAGGGACCCTAGCATCATGGGAACCCCAGCCTCTATTGCCTGTGACTTGCCACAGCATCAGACCCCCAAAGCCTGCACTCGCAAGAGAGCATCTGCCAACATCTTTCAGGGGGTGGGGCTGTTGCAGTTGCGCCGCCTCTTCCACAGCAGTGGGGATGCCCAAGCCGAGGAGAGGGCCCAGCTGGTCTGGGAATGTGCAGGGAGCCGGTGCATTGCTCACGCCTTGCAACAGCTCCGAAGGAGGCAGAGAAAGCTGAGGCTGAGATCACACCTGAGACCTCCTTCAGAAATGAGTGGTGCCACCAGACTCCTAGAGCTTCAACACTTCAGCCGCTTACGGTATGGTCTCCGTGTTCATGCCGCCCTGCTTCTACAGCTCTTGCACTCACCATCTAACAATAAAACCACAAAAATCCCCTCTCCCCTGCTGTTTCTCCAACAGCAGGTTGTAGGGCAGCGATGGCCCTTCAAATCTCATTGGAGTCTTAACTTCCATTTGTCTTAGCTTGCATGGCCAATGGTAAGAGATAACGGGTTTTCTTCAGCAACATCTGGAGGACTTCAGGTTCTCAACTCCTGTAGTAAGCAGAATATCTCTACCTAAAACCAGTAACTTCCTACCTACCCACCTTTACAGATGTATTCTATAAATTGCTGGTTTGTATACTTTTGACCAGCTGCTGTACTTCAGGTCAGGTCACATTCACACCATAAAGCCCTATTAAATATTAAAATTCTTTCCACCTATTAAAATTCTTTCCACCAAAGAATTCTGGGAGTTGTAGTTTAAGGATGCTGAGAGTTGTTAGAGGTCCCTGTTCCCTTTACAGAATCATAGTTTTCAGGAGTTCCCTGTGACAAGGGATTGCTTGTTAAACTGCTCGGGGGGGGGGGGGGACACAGGGACTTCCTTACAACTCTCAGCATCCTTAGTAAAGTGTAGTTCCTATAATTTTTGGGGGGGAAGACATGACTGTTTACATTTAAAGCACTATGA